CATTCGCGAACATTAGAGGTGAATATTCTCATTCGCATTCGCGGTTATAAAAATCGAACATTCGTTACATCACTATTATAAATTTAAAATTCATAGAACTTAAGAACCAAATGCTACGAACCACTGCCGGCGCCAGAGAGAGGTGCCTAGCGAGAGCTCGAAAGCTGCCGGTTTTACTTTTTAATTTACAATCAAGAACAACTTCCGATCTAGATTTGTATGTTAGGACGCCAATACCATTTTAGATGAACTGTTTTATCTAAAAACATGGTCTAAGTTTAACCGACTTAATAAAATGTTATATATTTACCTTTTACAAAAAAGGTTTACCTATTTCAAAATCACTTGTTTTAGATAAATGTTACTATCCCTTCCTTTCCTTTGTATGAAATTTAAATAAAACCACATTTTATAAAAAAAAGTTAACGATATCTTCGCCAATTATTATTTTTTTATGAATAAAGAAGGATTCAGATTCCTGGTATATTTAAAAACAAATACATCTATAAGGAGTAATCACTTTTAAATGGTTTTGAAATTGTTGTATCTTTTTTGTTAAAAAATTTTGTAATAGATCTTCTATTTAGATGGATACAGATATGGTTATTATAATTTTATTGTCTATGATCTCTTTTCCTGTACCTGAAATAATTTTCTCTTTTCAATAACATTTTTACTTACAGTTATTCATTTTTTTGATCAAAAACGTTCATTTAAAATTGTAAGGATCATAATAATAGCAACCTAAAATAAATAATTTTAAATTGTTTAACTATATCATCCCAATGGGGAAGAATTTTGCCTTCCTTTCCGCCAGATGTCGCAATCACTATAATCCTCAGTATATTATTGTAAAGCGCTATAGTCTGGATGGAATTTTTTTCATTTTATTTAAAACTAGTAATCGCCCCGTGGTTGAAAATCAACCATAATTCAATAAGTTTGATCGATATTGAGGTTCTTTCTTTGAAAGTTATATAGATAGCCTATAAAATCCAAAAGAATTTGAAACGACGTATTCAGAGATTTGCACGTACAGATATACAAACTTTTCATATTTATATTATGTTAGTACTCGTATAATATTGATGAGGGTTATTTAATATCATGCTATATCTTTACGCAGTGAAGTAATTATATATAAATAAAATGCGCGAGCGGATTCGCGGGTAAAAGAAAGTCAATAAATTTTGTGCAGTCCTTCTCTGTATAAACTTTAACTATGCCGAAGCTCATCCTCCTCCGTACATGCAATACCTATGCTTAAAAAGGGGTTCAAAGTTTTTGCTTCACGTATTAATCCCTCCACGACCGCGGACACGCCGGCGTGTCAGTTAACAATAGATTTCTTAGAAATTTAATTAATTTCTTAGAAATTTAGCTGGAGATGTTAATATATAGATTAAATTAACATGACAAATTATGAAGTGCCAGTATGCAAAGAATATGGATTTAATTTGTTCTCAAAAGACAAAACTGAATAAATTCTGGGCTAAAGCAATATGACGACCAAAATTGGCGAAATCACACTATTTAAGGCTATATGGACATGATTTTGCAGAAAGTGATTCTAAAACTCTTAAATCGTCTACAAGTGGATTTTTGTATTTTAATTTTGTAGTTTTTCACATATTATTTACAGAGTTTCAAACAAACTTTCATCCCCCATTTTAACCCGAATTGAATTTCGAAAAATGCTAAAGCATGTATTTATTTAATTTTATTAAAGAGCATTAATATCAAGTTTCAAGTAATTCTGATCATAAATAATTCTTTACCGATATAAACTTTATAACTATACTTTCCTGAAAAAACACGAGTAAAGCTCGGTCGTCCAGATGCTGTTATTTAAAACGATAAAAATATATTTACGTAGATCTAAAAAGGCGTCATATAAATTGTTATAGTCATATTAAAAAGATAGAAAGCTATATAATCACCTAACAAGCCTCTACCGAAATCATATTAAAAAAATCGAATTAGTAGGATTTTTAATAACTTGTTATTTTATTGTGTAACATAAAAATGTTATTTTAAAAAGCGAGAGTCATCTCTCCAGTAACCATGTTTGCTGTAAAGAAGTCGAAACATCGGCAAACTAAAATTAAAAAAAATCTGCGAAAAACTCCAAAATGATAGTTTTACTCAAAATGTCAAATATTTGCGTAAAACAAAATAATATTTATTATAATAAGAAAGTATTATAAAAGTGTTATATTAATGTTATAGGTAAGGAAACCCCATATTGGAATAGAACTGGTGATTTTTATCCTAGATAGCAATGTCAGTCATACATTTCATTACGCCATACCGACAAACACATTACCTCCTTTAATGAAAAGGTCGGTTAAGTCACACGATGACTAAGACTTCACGGATCCAACTTTCTCCATGTCGTAAGATTACAACACTATTAACGATTAACATTATGTTTGTTATCGTAACTTTGTAGAAAGTAGTTAATGGCTTCGATAAATTGTTAAGTGGTGCAGTCAAAAAATGTTTTCAAAGGATATTTGCCTGTTTTACATATATATATATATATATATATATAAATAATATATATAAAATATGTAATTTCCAAAAATTAAACTGACTGCATAAAAAACTAAAAAAGTAAAAACAAGTTGTCGTAGAAATATAGTATCATACAGTAAAGAGTAGTCGTGATAGACTACAGCAGAGATATTTTCTCGTAGTAAAAAGTATCCTATACGTTGACTCGGATAACCAGCTATCATCATATCAAATTTCATTAAAATCCCTCCGGTGGTTTTTCCGTGATGCGATCACAGACAGACAAAAATTCTAAAAACTATAGATTCAGCCTCTGTTTCGTTACAATTTTATTCTATGTATAGATTTCGTCATCTCCGATCCGAAAGAGTTTTTAATAAAGAAATATTGACTTTTAAAAGTCTATGCTTCTATATAAAGTGATAAAATCAGGGCGTGAAGCCAAGTAAAACTGGCAGGAAGCTCACTTGGTGGGCGGCACTTCTCTGTCAGCAGAGTGGACTGTGGGAGCAACCCCTTGGTTGTGTGGTCTGCTTCGGCAGACCTGCCGTCGGGGCGTCGTGGTTTAAAGCGTAAGCGATCTTGCGACGCTCCATTAAGAGGGGGGAAGATTTTGTTGGGTTTTAGTGGGTAGTACTGGCTTTTCTAGCTAATGAGTCCCACATATCCAACTGTACAATGTACATATATATGCAGGTGGTATGCTTAAATATACTTCCCAAAGTTAAAAAAGGATTTATAAACTTTATAGAATTCGTTGAAAGAGGTTAGTATCTCTTTGAGATATTATCGTCACGTCTCAAAGTAGGTTTTTCGTGATAACTTATTTATGTACTTCTTTGCACGTTTAAGACATTTGAAAAGTAGTTTCAAAGCAAAACACTTGTAATTTAATCTTCACTAACTTTCCCTTGTGGGTGATGACTCATTATTTAATTAACATTAAAAAAACAACTGTGTGAAATAATTAATATTATTTATTACTTACTAGCGACTCACCCTCGCTTCGGGTTCACCTTTAGAAAAACAAAAATAAATCTATCCCAGGGGAAATGTACATTTTTTCTGGATAAAAAGTATAATCTATTTCTGTGCCAAATTTTGTTGTAAATGTTCTGGCGATTGAGAAACAATCATCCAAACATCTAAACTTTCAAATTTATAATATTAGTAAGAATAAGAAGTAAGATTACTTTATATTTTAAAATTATATGTCATATATACACATATATATGTTATCAGTCTCATACCGAATTCCATACAGTAGTAGTAGTATAGTAAGGTAAAAAGCTATAAACCCATAATAGCTACAAAACGTTTGAAATGAAACAGCTAAGCGTGCCATTTTACTAATCCAATCAAATTATTGTTTAATTTTGTATGTGGATACTAGATACCTTCTGTAACAACTACGTATATTAGTGTGTGCCAAAAAATGACGATATTTTTTTTCTTCACTCTCACCCCAAAATATCTTAGAAAATGTCCCAACAAAGCTCCTATTAAAAGCGGAGCTCAAAATTCCAATTCTAAGAGGTTCTCCATCGAACTTTAAGTTTTCCTACACAAATTGTATGGAAAATATGATTTTTAACACTTTTTTGTCCTGAAAACGATATATATATATATATATATATATATATATATATATATATATATATATATATATATATATATATATATATATATATATATTTGAGACATCTAAATCTTAGTCTCTCCCATGATCTTGTTGGCTGTAAAGCATCGCAAGCGAAAAAATCGAAAGATGTATTTAAAATATCAAATATACGTGTAAATCTAAGAAAGTATGTACTATAAGTATAAGATAGGCGGAACGTTTACGTAGTGGTAACTGAAGCTTAAAATCGTATTATAATTAGTTGTATATTACAAATACAATATGAAGATAAATAAACTAGTACAGTATGCAAATAATTCATTAAAAATCTTTTAAAATAATTCATATTTTCAAAGTATTTATTCGTCCTTTACAAAATACTAGCGACTCACCCTCGCTTTGCTCGGGTTCGTCCCTAGCTTACTTCCCAATACAAATTTTCATCCCAATTTTCACCCCCTTAAGGTATGATATTCGGGATAAAAAGTATCCTATGTTCTTCCCAGGGTCTTAAACTATCTTCTTACCAAATTTCATCTAAATCGGTTCTGTAAATCCAGAGATTTCCCCCTACAACTTCACAAACTCACAAACTTTACCTCTTTATAATATTAGTATAGATTACTATTATAATATAAAAAAAATACTATAATAATCTTTTTCAACAAAATTATACAAACAGTGAACCATATTTTTATGGGACATAGTCAATGTACACCATAAAGTCCTCTGCAATTTTCCTATAGAAATTATAATGCATAGAGGCTACTTTTATCAAGGAATGCTTCGTCGTACAGAGTTGAATCATAAATATACGCTTTGCTTATAAAATTTCATCACATAGTGCGTGGTAAGAATTTTAAGAACTATTACCGATGACTTTGACCGCTTCTAACACTAAAGAATGTTAGTTTTTGTTGTTTAGTTATAAATGTTTATTTTTCTTATTTTGTATATTAATTTCATGTACATATGTATATATATATATTAATCATAGTAGTATATATATTTAATTATAAATAATATACATATATGTATATACTAGCGGCTCACTTTCGCTTCGCTCGGGTAAGCCTCTAGAAAAACAAAAATAAATCTATCCCACGGGAAACGTACATTTTTCGGGGATAAAAAGTAGCCTATGTGTTATCCTAATGTATGGGATATATTATTTTAAAGTTTCATTAAAATCCATTCAGTAATTTTTGCGTGAAAGAATAACAAACATCCATACATCTATACATCCAAATATCCATAGTACATCCTCACAAAATTTCGCATTAATTATAATATTAGTAGGATTATACTACGTAATAATTCTAAGCCGTGATGTTAAAAAATATTAAAAATTTACATATATTTAAAAAAAACAGCAGTTAACCAGCCTTCGCATAAGAAAGACAATAAGAAGAATATTTGCAATAATCAAAAGAAATAGAGTAAAAATATTTACTTACACCCAAGCTCGTCGAAGAATTTAGATTGTTGAGTATAGTCTTTGTCGCTGTTCTGTCCACTCTCACTATCACTCACTTTGTCACTATGGCTTATCAAATTATTGAGTTCAAGAGGTATTTTTAACCGCGCAGATTTAAATTTTAAATTTTTTAACTGTCCATCGTCATCCAAAATTGTAATATCTTCATAAGAATTCACCGCATCTTCGTCTTTTCCAATACTTTTAACCATTTCCTTGTTATAATTATGTTCATCAATTAATCGTTTCAAAGAAGAAGTTTTATCGTTGATGAAATTCTTAAAATTGTGAACATTTTCATTCAAATTTTCCTCACATAAATAGCCACTTTGAAGAAATACAACAATAATAAACAAATTTTGATGCATATTAAAATGTAATTATATATGCTTTTGTAGAAATTTTCTCACAATCTCACATAAGTTTATAACAATGGCTAGTCTATTATAATACCAACTCAAATATCAAGGGATACTATTTTCACTTGGCACAGTTAAACTAAATAAGTTTTTAACATTAACTATATTATAATAACTAAAGGCAACAGTCCACTTTAAATTTCACCGAATTGTCACAAATCACTTGTAAATTAAACTTTACCAAAAGCGAAAGTGGTCTCGCGTGGAGACGACGTGGTTGTGACGAAAAATCGGTTTGAGGCAAGTTTTGAGAAGTGTTTACATAACTGCTTTTAGGCTTCATAGAGCATAATGGTATTGACCAATAATCGAAATGTCGGCAACACAAAAGTTTTTGGACGTGACTCGGTGGGGTTTTTGGGATTTTGTAATATTGTAAATCTATACGTATAATAAAATACTGAGTCGAATCTGTACATTAAATATTTTTTGCAAAACGGATATAGAGGCTGACTTATAGTTTTTAGAATTTTTCTCTTCTGTCTGTTTGTATGTCTATCTGTGAACGCATCACGAGAAAACCACTTGACAAATTTGGATGAAATTTGGAATGATGAAAGCTGGTTATCAGGGTCAACATATAGGATATATTTTACTGCGAGATAATATCTCATCTCTGAGAAATCTATACTTATCCCAAAAAGTTAATTATTATAATAATACTCTTAAGTTTTTTACTTACCACTATTACTGATATCAGATAGGAGAAAGCTGCTTAGTATTTAAAAGTAAAAGTTTAACGTTACTAAAAAATCTGACTTAAATTATAGATTCTCAAAATGAAAGAATACATACAAAAATTCTTTACAATTATAAGCATTGAGAAACATACATGCACCCAATTCTATTACCCGTTATTCGTGTATTACGTAACAGGTTAGAGCCCTGGGTTTAATGATTATTGCCTATATCATATTTAATAGTAGAATCAAATAGATTTCATCAAGATAACAACTTTCTTATAATATCCATATAGTGAGTTTATTAGGCGTTTTGGATTCCTGTGTAAATTATTTTAAACCTCAAAACCACTTGGGAATACTGTAAACAAAAATATCATGAGAAAACCTACATGTCTGCGAGAACCTATTTAGATTTTGAAAGACTTGTTAAGTTTGCCATTAAAACTAATGATTTTAAAATATTTAATTTATAAAGTATCCAAATATTTATCAGCAATGTAAGATAAATACCTACTTAATCTATATCTAGTGTCTGTTTGTCAAAATAACAGCTTTTTACTAAATGCATATGAAATTATATATGGTACTTATAAGAAAATAAACAATTTTTAATAAATTTATTTGTTTGTCTGTCTGTCCGTTTGTTCCAGCTAATCTCCGAAACGTCTGGACTGATTTTGACAGGACTCTCACTGGCAGTTAGCTAATGTTATAAGGAGTAATTTTGGCTACTTTTTATTTAGAATAAGAATTAGGGTTATGCTCAAAAAAATTAAAACGAATTGTAAGTCGATATATAGTTCATAAATATTTTTCGCAACAGTATAATAACAAATCGGTGGTAATAAAATATCTATAGAACGTTATAATTTTGTAATTATGAGCTACTAATTAGTGACAGCGAGTAATTTTAATGTTTAAGAGAAAACTTAACAAAAGTAGGTTGAACAATTGATATAGTTAAAGAAATTACTACTTTTATGTATCAATCCATTCCTTGCCATAGTTATCTATACAAATAAATAAAATTAAAGTGTCTGTTTGTAAGATTAAAATTACAGGTTTTTACTAAATGCATAAGAAAGAAGGTATGTACAGTATTTAGAAAAACACAATACGTTTTTAAATTTTTTGTCTGTTTGTTTGTTCCGGCTAATCTCCCAAACGACTGGATCAATTTTGACGGGACTTTCACTGGCAGATATCTAATGTTATAAGGAGTAACTTAGGCTACATTTATTTAAATAAATTATAGTTTAAAATAGTAAAAAAAACACGCTTTCATGATGAGCCGAACTAAGAAGTACAAAAAAATAGTATAAGAATAAAATGGTTAACGAGAAAATGTATGTTAGTGTGAAAAAAACCGTGGGGAGCTTTGTACAATATTTTAATACTAAATCTTCTTTTATAAATCGTACCAATGGAATATTTATAACAACTGATATTGAGCACTTATACACAAATAACATAATAACTGTAAATGATTGCGAGTCTGTGTGTTTGTTATTGGTACTTGCTCACAATGTTATAAATCAAGAGATTGGAGTAAAATACGGAAAGAGATCTTATGTCCTAAAAGTCGCTATACCAGTTCTACGCAAAAATCATGTCCATTCGTTAGACGTCGACCATCTGAGAAAACAATAATATATGATCGTCTCTTTTATCTTTAACATCTATATACATAATAAAATTCTGAGTCTAATCTGTACATTAAATATTGTTTGGAAAATCTTACTGAAATAGTCATTATTATCGATTTAGAGGCCAAATCTATAGTTCCTTTGATGTTTTTTTGTCTGTTTGTTTAGGAACGCAAAAATAACCACTGCACTGATTTTAATAAAATTTAGTATGATGATAGCTGGTTATTTTTCTTTTTGTTGACGCTGGGGAAACCCATCATGGGGACCCTGCCCACCGTCATAACGGACAAGGTACTGTGAGACTTGAGACTCCTACTCACTAAAACCCTCAACGGAACCTGTCGTCGCAGTGCAATGGGGCGTTGCAGGATCGTTTGCGCATTCACTACAACACCCCTGCGGTCGGCCTGCATCTCGCGGTCCATCCTCGCCATAGCTGGTTATCCGGGTCAACATGAAAGATATTTTTTTCTGCGGGAAAATATCTTATCTCTGAGAAATCTATACTAAACGACAAAAGATATCAAGGGATGAACCCGAGCGGAGTGAGGGTGATTCGCTAGTATTATATATTTATCAAAAAGATGCGTTTTGTTTAGACGTAAAAATAGACTGGACTAAATCTGTATAATAAATATAAAATAACATAAATTCACTTATAGCTGGAATCGAACTCTCAGCAACATGTCAATCACATAACCACTTTTCCAAATTGAACACCTTTCTCAATATTTATCGAAATATTATATCGCATAATGGTAATAACCCCCCAATTGATTATAATATATAGCAGTATAAAAATAAAACATATTTTGATGATAATTTTGTATTATATAGATACATATGTAATTCGACATTGATAAATAATTCAACAACTATGTAATAAATAGACTTAAGTCTCCATATGTAAATACAGAGTATATTATTTTTGGTAACAATTTTATAATTTGCTTGTCAATTTAGCCATCCCTTTAAGTTGTCTTCTTAAAATTTTGCCACTAGGGTTCTTTGGTATTTCACTCACAAATCGCACGCCGCCGCGAAGATGCTTTGGGTTTGAAAGCTGTAACAAAGTTGTATTTATTTAAGATACAATAACTAGGTATTTCTGGAATTATCAAAATGGCATCAAATTAATCTGTCATCTTTTTCACAGTTCTCATTTTCATGGAATACTGTGTGTTTATCTATATATAAATAGTCCACAAGGAGGACAAAACAGTCCCTTTTTCTCCTGTGTTTGTCAACCTATGTTATTTATTTTATTTAGTAGCTATCTATTAATTATCTTATTCTTTTTACTACCAAGTCGTATTAAATACTAGCGGCTCACCCTCGCTTCGCTCAGGTTCGCCTCTAGACAAACACAACAAATCTATCCCACGGGAACCATATATTTTTCCGGAATAAAAAGTAGTATATGTGTTATTATGATGTATGTTATTGTAAAGTTTCATCAAAATCCATTTAGTAGTTTTTGCGTGAAAGAGTAACATCCATACAAACATTCTTACAAACTTTCGCGTTTTTAATATTAGTAGGATTGTTTCAATGATATAATAATTCTTTTAGTAGAGCTCAAAATTCATCAAATTCAGTACTGGCAAAGTTTTGAAAATGACCACCTTCGATTACCACTCTCGCTGAAAATTAATAAGAACTTTTACTGAAACTGAAACTGGCACTTTTTTCTAAACGGCCTTGACAGTTTTATACTAAAGCCTAAAGATGGTTTTTAAATGTTTAAAATAACTCTAAAATGTGCTCACCCATTAAATAATTCTTCAAAACATATGAAACGAGAACAAAATAATAACAATTCATTCGTCAAGCCTAAAATTCTTTGCAAAAATATAATTTCTATATCATCTTCCATATTAACTTACCTTTTCTGCTACAAAGCTCTTCACTTCTTCTTCAGTAACATTAGCTGCAGACTGAATAACTACATATGCCCGAGGTGCTTCTCCGCCACTCTCATGGGGAACCCCCACTACACCTGCATCTCGTATTGAAGGATGCTGCAATAGTACCGCTTCTATTTCGGCCGGCGCTACCTTCAAATATATTTACAACTGTTCAAATTCTTTTAAGTATTCATTATATAAAATACAAAGATTCTATAACATGTGACTCTTAAGATACTTCCTAAATGGTAAGAATTTTTTTAAGGTAGTTAAGTAAGATCTACAGGGAGAGAACTACCTTCTGCTTTTCCTTCTGTAAGTTCTTACAATTCTATTTCTTGTCTAACCCTCCATACTCTCTCTCAATCTCATTGCATCTAAGGCATCGATAAAAAGTATTAGATAACAAGCAGCGACAAAAAATGTTCTCATCGAATTAGCGCTCATTTCACCATTTGAGCGCACTTTTAATTTTTTTTTTTGTAAAAACAACTTTAAGCATGGCGTTTAAGGTTATAGTTTTAAGAGAATATTTTCATGGGATTGTGTATATAGTACTTTTTTAATCGATGATCTCACGCAAAAATCTGGTGTGGCAAGCAAATCATAACTGTTTATCAACAGGCCTCGTAATTTTTTACTATTTTTATGAAAAAAAAAGAGAAGATAGAGTTACCTGATAACCCTTGTACTTTATAAGTTCCTTTAACCTATCCACAATAAAGAAGTACTCGTCCTCATCATAGTAACCGATATCACCAGTTTTGAAGAATCCTTCTTCATCGAAATCGTCTTTCTTGTCCTTTCCAATGTACCCTTTCATTACAGTGGGCCCTTTGACACATATCTCTCCTGGCTTGTTTGCTCCGAGAGGTTTCCTGGTTTCTATATCTACTACCTGTTGAACAGAAGCTAGATATTTCATAGAAAAGTTTAAAGCATATACAAGCGAATAATGGATCCGTCTAAAAGAATATAAGCTTCTTCTATTCTAGAAAAGAATTAGATTATAGGTTTTAGGTATATTCGTAAGGTAAGTCACTATTAGGATAAAAAGCTAAGAGCTCCCTAAGGATCGAATGAGTTTTTGGCACGACCGATGCAGTGAGGCTTGTAGTACAAAAAGGTTGCTAGGATTTGAAAGAAAGGAATGAACAGAAAACATAATTAATTCATTTGTAACATCATCGCATAATAAACAATTCAAATTTTATGTCAATTTGTTGAATTATATAATTCTATTATCTTGTTAATGACTCGAAAACGTGCCAGTAGAGCACAGATTACTGCACCAATATAGTAGAATGGAGAAGATACGAGGAAGATTGGTCGGTTAAATAAGATTGTTATTAATAATTCACAAACATACACTCAAAAATCATTAATAAATATTAGGGTTATAATTTTGTTACCTTAATCACGGTCCCGGTGAGAACCTGACCGACTCCTTTAGCCGAGTGTGCTTTATCGTAAGTGTCCCTGGTGATAGCAAGCGTTGATTCCGTCATACCATAGCCTTGCAATATATTTTTAACATTTGGGAATCTTAAACATACAACAAATGTAGGAAATTTATTATATTTAATGGCAAAAAGGCATTTTAAAGTTTTATTCCTAGACCTCGCACCTGGACACGGAAAACCTTATAAGTTCAACTCTGTACCATCTAGAACACAATGCCGTATGTCTGTAATCACTAAATCTAACTGAACGTAAGCTCAGAAACTTCAATATTACTACATCCGCCTCCGGTAATGTTATCGTTCATAATTCATCCTAAAAATTAGACCGTCAGATTTTTCTTTTCGATTTTCGCCAGATGTTTTGATTCATCACATGACAGACCTGACTGCAGTATGTGACATATTATAAATAAAGTATTTAGTGCGGAAGCAATTTGTATTGACCAGAGTCTCTTAAGCTTACAGCTCCATGAGTCCTCATTTCTTGTTAACAAGTCAAAAATAAGTGATAATCTGTATTATGATACCAGATAGTTGAAACACTACACATATATAACTTTAAATACATACATATTATAAATATAAGCACCCACGACTGGAGTAGTAACATTCGTGCTCATCACACAAATGAATGCCTCGAGAGCTGGCACAGCATCAATAGTGGATAACTGTCCCGGTCAGATTACAATATAATATTTTTTTTTATATCTAGTTAAATTTAATAAAAGAAAGCCTAAATAAAATGTACGATTATTTAAAAAAAATGCAAATTCTTACTTGGCTTTAACAGCTTTTATAGTTTCTTCTCGTAAAGGTGCTGCCCCTGATATTATCAATTTTAAACTACTTATGTCGTAATTACATTCAGTCTTGCTGAGAATCACTAAAATTGGTGGTGGCACTATAATTTGTTGTACCTAAAAAAAATTGGGCTTTATTAGAAACAGTACCTGGGCGACCAAGCTTCGCTCGAAATAGGCGTTCGTTCACTATCTCATCATCCATAAAAGACAATGCAAGTACCGGTAAAATTTACGAGATGACTCCATATGATATTGCATGAGAGTAGATAGAAAAAGGCTCTAATGATCAAGTTCCAAAAAAAGTTTTTTTTACTTTTTTGGGATAAATTGCGTTTATTCAAAAAACACACCTGTATGAATAAATTTAAAACGCAAAACCTTATCTAAATACAAAATTTGATCCAAATCATTAGAGCCGTTTCCGAGATATACAAAATAAATACAAGAGTTGCTTATTTAATATTATAAAATAAACTCAGCAAACTAATATTTAATTAAAATTAAATTAATTAATTTTTTTTATTTAATTTATTTAAGCTAATGATTAATCTAGAATATTAATTACTATGTTTTTAAAATCTTCATAATTGTGAAAACGAACACAAGGATATGCAAGTTGTGTTTGCTTTTAAACGATTATGCATAATTGTGCTGTATTTTAATTATTTAACTTAAATTATTTCTTATAAAACATGTAAATAACCACTAGCAAACCTTATTAAAATAAATAAAAATAAATAAATAAAATAGACTAAATTAAAATTTTATGTTTATATAGCGAACAACTAATATGTTATTTTTATTAAGTAAAAACGTAATCTTACTCGGTATTTCTCTATAGTTTGTAAATATTCATTGACTCCAAACTTAGGTAAATAAATTGATGTGCTACCAGAACAAAGTACACGCAGTATGCCCACTAAGCCCATAGTGTGATACCACGGTGCTATAAATAGGCCAATTTCTTTAGGATTCGTTGAAGGTGAACTGTGGAATAAATATTGTGACTTATGAATATAAAAATTAGGCAAGTTTGAATTAAATTCGCGTGAAGAATATTCTGTGGATGTGCATTAAAAAAAAATGTACAAACACACCGACGGACAAACGTAAGACAAACAAGGGAAAGATGGAAATGATTCGGTTTTCGGTACCCTGAAATTAAGTTTTTATGATATAATAGTATATTATTTACTAGCGACTCAAACCTTCTATCTAAAACCTTCCTCTTGAATCACTCTATCTATTAAAAAACCGCATCAAAATCCTTTGCGTAGTTTTAAATATTTAAGCATATACATAGGGATATAGGGACAGAGAAAGTGACTTTGTTTTATACTATGTAATGATAGATATTTCGAACACAAAAATCATATAATATTAAAAACTAGCTACTCAACCATGCTTCGAATTTAGAACCTTCTTCTTTTTGATATCTTTTAAACTTAGTACTTACACAGAACATGTCGTCAAAAGATTGAGATGTGTCAACATAACGCCTTTGGGAAGGCCAGTAGTTCCTGATGAGTATAAAATGAGGGCGGTGTCCTTTTGCCCAGTAACATTTACTGATTCGAACATATCGAAGTTAATACCACGATCTTTGACCATATCCTCGAACATCAATGTACCCCTTAGTCTCTCATTGCCAAAAACAACGATCTTCATAAATCTAAGGTTTTTGAAAGTTTGTTGGTGTGTTTTGTATGCGAGTGGTGAACAAAATATCATCTTTGGTTTTGATATACTGAGGACGTAGGTAAGCTCATCTGTAAGAATAGACAGACTTGATAGAGTCAAAAATGTAGTCTAATTACTTATTGATGTGAGTTTTTTATTTACAATAGATCCGTTATCAGATATTTTTAAAGTCAGAGCTGGGATCTTAATTGAATGCAATCAAAACTAACAAAATTGAGCAGGTTGTCTCCGAGAAATCGATGTGTATATGTACTTGTAAGAAATATACGTGTCACACATAGGTAGTACTCTTAGGTACCTCGTTTCTTTCTTGGAAGTCGGTCAAACGGTTCAGGAGGTTTTATAATATAACACTTGATATGGGACGAGGTATTTGATATAGAGGTATAAGCAATACCAACAATCGTGAAAATCAGTTACCAATTAGCTAATATATTGTTGACACACAAACACACAAAAAGCTTACTTTAGATGACATGATCGTATTTGTAAATCAAAGTTTAAATTCTTAAGTATTTTCTACTCAAAATTCTTGACCTTGAATGAAAGAAAAAGATTAAAGCCCGATTTCACCAACGTCACCTAAGTTTAAGGGATCCCCTAAGCATGGTTAGGGGGCTGTTAGGGGACAGTTTCTGTTTCACCGACAGTTAGGGGTCACCTAAATATTAAAAGGCCCCCTAAATTTAGGTGCTCGAAATTTGGGCTTGAAGATGATCGTAAAACGAAATTTAATTTAGGGGCTAGTTTAGGGGACTTTTAAGCTAGGGATCCCATACGTAGGTTGTAGCTTATGGGTTGTTGGTGAAATCGGGCATAAGAGTTTCTATCAAGGAATACATACCTTTAGTATACGCCAAATTAGTGGGAGTAATAGTGGCTCCAGAACAAATAATACCAATCACCAGACTTAAAAATTCCTGCCTGTTCTCAGAACATATAGCTATCGTATCCCCTCTTTTAACCCCTATTTGGGTCAAAGATAGGGCAATATTTATACAATTCTTTGCCATATCACGGAATGTAATTTTTTGATGGGTACTTCCATTTATCTGCAAAAATATAGGAGTAGATGAGTTAATTATATGAATTTCGTAGTCAGTACTGTCTGTCTGTCTGTCTGTTACCGCATCACGAGAAAACCACTGGACAGATTTTGATGAAATTTGGTATGATGATAGCTGGTTATCCGGGTCAACATATAGGATACTTTTTACCGCGGGAAAATGTCTATATACTAATATGTAAAACCTAATAATTTGCTTTTTGGTCATCTGAACGCAGGCGGAGCCGCGGGCAGTGCTAGTTGAAATATAAGTAAAAAGTATTATTTGTATTTACTTACCATAGCTATTTTGTCTTCGCTATTCCATAGTTTTTCAAGCATAAATTGTCCAAAATTCAAATGCGCTGGCACATTGACTTCACCCTCTCCGTACACGTACAGTGGGTTTCTTAACATTTTAAACTTATTACTTTTGAATTCAACAAGAAATTAAACTTCGAACACGTTAAACTCGCTTTACTGGAAGTTGAAAAACAAAACGTATACTTCAAATACTTATTGCCTATAAAAATTCAGATAGACGGCGGTAATCTATTAATAAATTCAAAAACTACCGATGTTGTAGAACACTGCGAGTTCTTATGAAGTAATATAATTATAAACGCATTATGTTACTGATAACGCTATCAGTTTACTAACAAAAACTGAACAGGCTAGAGCTGGCGACTTTGCTTTAGAAGATTATTTTCTGACTGTAGTGAAGGTAAAATAAGAAAAAAATATTGCAGGACTAGCGGCTTAGTCTCGCTTCGCTCAGGTACGTCCCTAGGTACGTTTTAAATAGATAAAAATATCAATTATGAGCGTACTTTAGTAGATATTTATGATGTGGTGGAATTTTCTAATTTTTACGCATTAAATTGTTAAATATGTAATTTCCATTTGGACTCTTTAACATATTTATTATTTTTAATATGTGAGCACCGTTTAGTCTCAAATCTATATACTTATGCGATATTTTTTTATTTTAAATAATACTGGCGATTTACTCTCGGTTCGCTCGAGTGTTCCCTAAGTGTGGAATTATCCGTAATACGTTGTTTTTATAACAATTCTATTGAAAATTTTTATGAAATGTTAATTCGAATCTTGAGTAATTTTAAGGGTTTTCGATTTACCTAAATATTTTATTAATAAAACATACCCTATATGTAGCCCTACAATTATTAAGTATCAACGGTCGCGTGGGCGACATGTTAGGACCCTCCTCGCACCCATCTGCTACTGCCCCAGTGCCCCAGCTGTCGTCGTCGTCTATAAGTTATTATTACGTTTCGCAAGTTATTTTAATTTTGTGATATCCTCTAAGATATTCATCTATGCTAATATTATAAAGAGCAAAGATTTGGTTTTTGGTTTGTTTATTTGTACTGAATGGCCTCCGAAACTACTGAACCGATTTAGATGAAATTTGGTTAGAAGATAGTTTCAGATCCTGGGAAGGATATAGAAGTTTTTATCCCGGAAATCATGCCTTAAGGGGGTGAAAGTGGGGATGAAAGTTTGTTTGAGGAAACAACCTAGGGAGGAAGCGAGAATGATGCGCTAGTCTAATTTAATGTGTATAGGTCAGTTTTAATCTAAATTAGGTGCTTAAGTTGTCTAACATATTTATTTAGATAAGGGTTAATACCATATCAGTAAATCTAAGACAAAGTATATTTTCCATTACATTTTCTCATTTATTACATTAGTAAGAAAAAATATAGTATGTAGAAAAACTTATGTATGTATGTATGTATGTATTTATGTGCATATTATTATGTACATACATACATTAGTGGTTTTTTACTTTGATATACCTAAGTTTGAAGCGCATCGTGACGTTTTATCAAAATATTTTAATTGCTATCACCTTTTATCATATTATGTAAACATAATATCAGATTGTAAAATAAGCAGTAATATATTTATGTAATACTAGCGAATTATTTTGGCTTCGTTCGGGTGCGTCCCTTAGCTTCAATGGTTTAGGAGCACATAAAACACAAACGTCTAAAGAAAAATCTCTTTTCTGGGTCTGGAACATTTGCAGGCGTATAGACAATGATTCACCAGAGTATCGTTACAATCTGATCAATAGTTTAGGAACGCGTAGAGGACAAACATACCAACATTCACTCTTATTTATATATATATATATATATATATATATATATATATATATAAATAGACGTTCGCTTTGCTCAAGATTTAACTTTAGATTTAATTTACACGTAAACTACTGGCGTTCCTGAAGTCTAAGAGGAGAAAGGGGTGGTGAGTAGGGTAAAAGGGGGTGGGATGGTGTAGATATATGTCTGTGGGATTAGCAAAATTGTAAGTAAGCATGAAATAATATTTTTAAAGTAGAAGATAATGTAAGAAAGTATCACCGGGCGGTAATTTCCGAGCGTAGGAGCAAGAAGTCGTACCATTTTATTTTGTAGGACGATGTGAACATTCAGCTATGCAGATTTATAATAATAAATACGAAAGTCAGCTTGTTATTAATATTTTTTATGGTGTTGTTATATTAATAATTTCGGAGAGGGCTTTTGATCCAAAATATTTGTTTCGTAGGATCTTGAGGAGATCTCCTCGATTTTGAGGAGTACTTAAAACTTGTATACAGCCGTTACAGAAGAGTACATATTCGTACAGTCGGTATGCTACTTAAGCAAATAAATTTAAAATTACTATAATTTGTTAGAAATATTACAGTATAAATGAAACAATATTTTTGTGCATTTGTTTTTTTTAAAACAACATTTTTTTACAATATTAGGCTTCATAATTTAAATACCATCCCAAAATATAAGAAATAGATAAAAATCTAGTTTTTCTAGTGTAAACTAAAGTTTACTTTTCCTTTTCGCCATTTTACGTAACTCTCTTCTTAAAATCTTGCCAGTTTGGTTCTTTGGTATTTCTTCTATAAATCTGACTCCACCGCGGAGATGCTTTGCGTTTGAAAGCTGAAATACATATTGAGTGGTTTAATTCATAAATGCTACGAAGAAAGTTTTAGTATACTGGTATATATATATATATTAAAAACTAGCGACTCATCCTCACGTCACCGGGGTTCGCCCCTAGGTGATTCTTTAAATTGGCATAACTTTTTTAATTAATGATCCGATTCCAATAAAACAAATACTACATGTTAAGTAAAGCTTACCACAATACATAAGAGCAAGCCACATCCAAATTAATAACCGTTTTTGAGATTAGCGCGCACAAAAGCACAGACAAACAGACAAAAATGCTAAAAATCATTGTTTAGGGTTCTATTGCGTTAGTAAAGAATCAAATAATACTTTTTCTCAAATGTTTTCCATATATAGACAGCGATCAGTTAAACACTTTTATTATATGTATAGATACATGCAAAAATGTAACAGCGTGTACAATCTACAAACGATATCGCTAATAGAAAAATATGACAATATTCTGATCACATGCTAGCCATGCTATTTTCATACATTTTTAGCCTTCTCTCACGTAACCCAAAAAAAATCTTGAAAGATCCAATGTTTGCTCGAGAGGTTTTATCTTTACCATATACTCTATCGATATTTAATAATCTATCGATAAGTTCAATAAAATAGTGAAGATGCATTTTACCATTCGGTTCGATTACCAGCTCAGGTAAATTAAAAAAATATATTAAATGCACTTATTATAATTTTTAAATATAAAGGAATGTTTCCATTGAGTAAAACTTGAAAACTTTAACATTTAAAGTATTTTTCTCCCATCCATTCATTCATTGGTTCCGCCTTGTAATATATATTAATAATTGCTCATTTAATATTATAAAGTTTACTACACACCCTCTCAGCCACAAAGTCACATATTTCTTTCTCAGTGAGAGTGTAGTCTGGTTGTAAAGCTACAAACGCTAGTGGTACTTCTCCAGCACTGGGATGTGGAACACCCACCACTCCCGCTTCCCTGATGCCTGGGTGTTTGAGTAGCACTGATTCAATTTCTGCTGGGGGTACCTGAAAATTCAATTAATGTTGCCTTTATATTTTATTTTACGTCTCATTCTCATTCTAAGAAGATATGTGTATCATTCTATTCTTTCTATCTATAGGTTTCTTTCTATAAAGAACAGTAGCCTTTTATGGGATGAATTTTGAAAAATCCTGAAACACGTATTTATTTAATTGGATTGAATAACATTAATACCAAGTTTCAAGTGATTTTGATCACAAATATTTTTTGGGTTGTGTTATAACGTGTTTTCCCGTGGGAATGAGATAATCTCCCGCGGTAAAAAGTAACCTATGTCACTCTCCAGCCCTTCAACTATCTCCACACAAAAAATCAAGCCGTCTTTCCATTTCGACGTGAAAGAACGACAAACAAACAAACATTTATAATATTATTAGTTTTATAATATTAGTATGGATTGTGTGGGAACGACCTCGCGTCTTAAACAGACCGTCAATAAATGTAAGTATGACTAGTTTTTTCCCGCGGTTGCGCCCGTAATGTAATATATATTACTATTTTTACTATATCTTTATAAATTATAGTCTATTTGTTACTAAGATATATAACTTATGTTACTGTAAAGTTTCATCAAAATCCGTTTAGTAGTTTCTACGTGAACGAGTATCAAACATACATCCAAACAACCCCGTTTATAATATCAGCAGGATTAATACAAATGTTCGACTTATTGAATCAAACTACAATCCCTAATGTTCTAAAATCAAAACTTCGATAACCAACCTGATAGCCTTTATACTTGATCAGTTCCTTCAATCTATCCACAATATAGAAGTAGCCGTCTTCGTCATAATATCCTATATCTCCAGTCCTGAAGAAGCCTTCTTGATCAAAATCTTCCTTTTTGTCCTTACCAATGTAACCTTTCATGAGCATAATGCTTTTAACACAGATCTCTCCTTCTTGGTTTGGACCAAGAACTTCACGTGTTTCTGGGTTTTCAACCTGTAATTTTAAAGTCATATATTAGGAACTATAGAGGCACTAATCTTGCAAACTCTTTGCATATACTAATCAAGTATAATATATTGATGACACGTAGAAATCAATTTGTAGTGACCTTACTTGCTGTGCCAGCGGTCGCGGGTTCGAGTCTCGCTGGGGGCATTTATTTGTGTAATGAGCATGAATGTTTGTATTTCAGTAATGGGTGCTTATATTTATAATATGTTTGTATTTAAAGTTATATATGTGTAGTGTATCAACTATCTGGTATCCATAACTCAAGCCTCGTAGCTTACCATGGAACTAGACGGTGCTGTGTGTTAAAGTTCCAACATATTTAATATTATTTTTTTTGACTGTTAAAATAAAAATGTACTTAATAGTATTTCTATAAAAAACAAATTCATTTTAGCAGCTGCACACGTGTACTGAAAATATCCTATACTTGAAAAACTGAACTACAACATATCTTCTTCAAAATGGTTTTCGTTGATAGTATTTTTGGAAATTCGAGTAAAATAGTTCTGACTTATGGTCAAATGGTCAGATGCACAGAGGAATTTTAAGGTATTCGTTTTTAACTTTATGCTACGGAACTCTAAAAATTACATATCACGTTAGCTTGAATATAAGCCAAAAATTAAACACACCTTAACAACAGTATGAGATGTAACTGTACCCACACTGCCAATCTTATCAGGGTTCAAATTTATGGTAATAGCTAGCGTGGTCTCTGTCATGCCATAGCCTTGTAACACTGCCGTTACGTTTGGGAACCTGGAAGAGAGTAAGCAGTTATGACTCGTACATGTAAAGTATGGGATTACAAATGGCGGATTATATATACATTGCAAAAAATAATCACGATTATATTATTAAATAATTTCGATATTTAACATTTCCTTTGAAATTATTCAAAACTAGCAAGATCTTTTAACTGCCAGTATGGAATAGATAGACTATATACTATTATATACATACTAGCGACTCACCCTCGCTCCGCTCGAGTTCGTCCCTGGGGTGGGGTCTGGGAGGACCACCCTTATCCTTATCACTTAGGGGTATGAAAAATAGATAGTAGCCGATTCTCAGACCTACTGAATACGAATATAAAATTTGGTAAAAATCGGTAAAGCCGTTTCGGAGGAGTATGGTAACAAACATTGTGACATGGAAATTTTATATATAAGATTACATACATAGTAGATGAGTTTATTATCCCTTACTAGAGAAATGATTGATTCCCCATATAAACTCTCTTCCCCCATTTTCACCCTCTTAAGGGATCTTTTCCGGGATAAAAACTATCCCAAGTCCTTTCCAGGGTCCGAGACTATCTTTATACCAAATTTCATCTAAATCGGTTCAGTGGTTTTAGTTTATCCATTACAAACAAATTCTCAAATTTAGAAACTTTACCTCTTTATAATATTAGTGTAGATATTATATTCAGATACCATGAAGGACAGCAGAATAATTTATTACAATAAGTAATATATCGCTCATTAACTTCTGATATCTTCTAACTAGCATTTTTGCGCAAAACTTTATTTCAATGCCATCATTTGGCAAAAGCGACAAAAAACTAATTGCAGTTAATTACGATGTCATAAAAACATAAAAACCAACCAAATACTTATTTGTTTTACCAAATTTCTCCACGATTGTTTTTTTTTTAATTAATACTTAAACTAGTTTAATATTTTTCCTGTAAAATTTGTTTGGAAATAGACAAAAGATCTGAGAAGTTCACGGACGATATGCCAAAGATTTTTATGTTTGTGTTTTTACTCTCATACTAAAACAGCTGAATTTAGATGTTTAGTGTACAGCTTGTAGTGGTAGTTCTAACGCACACATTTGTATCGCGCCAGTGCGCCACGAAACTCAGTTGTCCGGTAACCGCCAACCGATTCGCTTATCGCTTATCTTCTATACATATAATAAAATTCTAACTGAGTCGAATCTGTATATAATTTTTGTTTAGGAAAATCTTATTGAAATAGTAATTGTTATCGACAAAAAGGACGAATCTATAGTTTTAGAATTTTTGTCCGTCCGTCCGTCCGTCCGTCCGTCCGTCTGTCCGTCTGTCCGTCTGTCTGTTTGTCTGTCTGTGACTGCATCACGAAAAAACCATAGGACAGATTTTTAATAAAATTTGGTATGATGAGAGCTGGTTATCCGGGTCAACATATAGGATATTTTTTACTCCGAGAAAATATCTTATCTCTGAGAAATCTATACTAGACGTTAAAACGTAACTAGGGACGAATCCGAACGGAGTAACGATGAGTCGCTAGTATTGTTATAAAAGTATTTGTGCAAGGGATATTTGTAGCTAACTTAAAGTGAATATAATAAATACACGTAACTTTCATAGTCCCACCGCACACACAGATATAGTGAACACGCAATATCGCCCCCCCACACACACACACTATAAGCTGATAAACTATGACCTGGAGTAACACTCTACGTTACTGTAATCTATTCGCTTAAGTAATTTTGCTAAAAAGTGGCGCTACCTGTATATAAAAGACAAGCATTTCCCGCGGCTCCGCCCCCTTTCAGATAACTGAAAACCAAATTCTTAGGTTTTACATATAAGTATACTTTTACATTGCAGTTTTTGCATTTTTTCTCAGAAATGAGATACTTTCCCGCCGTAAAAAGTATTCTATATGTTGACCCGGATAATCAGCTAATACATACCAAATTTTATCAAAATCCGTCCAGTAATTTTTCTGTGATGCGGTAACAGACAGACAGACAGACAAAAATTCTAAAAACTATAGATTCGGCCTCTGTATCAATAATGATGTCTATTTCAATAAGATTTTCCAAAAAATATTTAATGTACAGATTCGGCTTAGTTACAATTTTATTATATGTATAAATAACACGAGCTATTTATAATTATCGCTATTTTAATTACACATATGGCATAATTATTTTTCCATATTACGTCATAACTCATACTTTATATTTTAATTATACCCTCAATTTTATAACATTATTATCGTTGATACTTAAACTACGGCTGATAGCCGCTATTTGTTATCTCCTTGCTTATTTGAATGGTAATAGATTAATAGGTAATAGGTAAATTATAATATATTTTTCTAAAGAATATTATAATATATATATATATATATATATATATATATATATATATATATATATATATATATTAAGGAACAAGTACTCGTTTATCAATTTAAAAAAAACATCGAATAATTAACACACTTTCATCGCTTCAGGTGGAATAAGTTATTATTATTTAGCAAAAAGTTATTTTTTTCTATTCTACCTCTGTTTCACAGTTTTAGCAGTCTCTTCATACAGTGGTGCGGCGCCGCAGTATACGACTTGTACAGAACTAGTATCGTACTGCAGATTCGACTTGCACAAGGCAATAATGGCGGCTGGAACTACAGTTAGTTGTTGTATCTGGAAGTAAGCAGTATGTATTGACTTCTCACTCATTTCTTATAAGTTAAAAAGGGACAGCTATATACTTGATTTACAGTTTCTAGTTTATTGGTGCTTTACAACCGCAAAAAATTCTTTACATTCAACTGTATACAGTGTGAGACTCGTAAATGCTAATCAAATGTGCCTAAGTTTTATTACAGCTTTAGCCATTGAAGAGTTTCACTATCCTCCTCCTAACTCCATCACCGGATCAGCTCGATGAGATTAAATAATTGTATTAATTTTACATACAAAATTTAGTACAATAATTAGAGATAGGTTAAAATCAATATCCAAGATTTGATGACACAAGTGTTCAAAAGATGAGATATTTATTTATCCAAAAATTACTAAAGGATATTTCTCATAAATAGGCGTCTTAGTTACAGTTTTCACAATTTTGACTTCATTATTACCTTATATTTCTCAACCGTCTTCAGATATAATTCTACGTCAAATTTCGGCAAGTACACATACTTTGATCCTTTGCTGAAGCTTGCCAGAGTACTGATTAGCCCCATTGTATGGTACCACGGAGTGATGGTCAGACCTATCATCGGTGGCAGGACAATATTTGATCTGGAAATCACACATAAATATTCTCATTTTTTTACTTTTTGTCTGGCTGTTCGTTTAATTCTAATTTTGGATCTGAACTAGCTTTAAGAGGACTTGGTACAGAATAGGTCGGCAAAACAAAGCGTTTCCGTTGAATAAGAGATGATGCTATTACTGTAGGCATAAGTAGACTTCAAAACTATTTTAAAATATACCTTGGAAAGCACCCGAATGATAAAAACTATAAAATTTATTATTATAAGAATGTTTTTACTTACGAACATAGGGTTAAAACACTGTGATGTGTCAACATCACACCCTTAGGTAAGCCAGTCGTTCCAGAGGAATACAATATAAATAACAAATCTTTTTGTCCTTCTACATCCACAGGTCGAAAATCTTCGAAATTTACATTTTTCATTTTCTCATTTGCTATAGCTAAATCTTTATACAAAATAGTATTATGTGGTCTGTTTTCTCCAAATAAAAATATTTTTTTAAGGAAGCCAAAGTTTTTATAATTTTTCAAATGAGTTTTGTAGGCGAATGGTGAGCAGAATAGGTATTTTGGTTTCGCTATATTCATGACGTGTTTAAGTTCATCTGAAAATTAAAATTAGAATAGTTTAGTACTATTAACTTACACTTTTGCAGAATTCTTTACAGAAAATCCCAGTAGTACTTGGCCTGACCCGGGACTCGAACCCAAAATCTCTGGATCAGCAGCCGTTCATGCTACCAACTAGAAACTGAGACAGTTCAAATTCGTAATATTCCCAGAGTACGTTTTATCTTGGTGAAGGAGAAGCGTAAAAAGTCTGAAGCAACCACAGTAAACCATCGGTTTTAATGAAATTAAATGGAAATGCTGTGAAATGCAAAGGTTGTCCAAAATATTAATTTCATGGCAAACGGTTTAAAAGTAAGTTATAATTACAACTGTCAATCCTAAAGCCGTTTCCCGACTATCTTATAAAATAAGTACGAGAGTGGGATCGCGTCTCATCTCGCCTAACCGAATATTTTAAGGTATGTACACATCCACTGGAGTTGAAAACAAAAGATGATGTGTAAGGGGCCTAAAACTTTTTCTTGCTAGTTATTTGAGCCTATGTATTTGTGAACTGCAAAATGAATATTTTTCAAATTGCACTAATAATTTCAGAGAACACAGACAACAAAAAAAACAGAAGAATATTTTTAAATATGTATAAGTATTTTAAATATAATATCAGTATCTGTACCTATTATAATGGTTATTTATTTTATCACAGCTACGAGTATTTTAATATTTATTGTACCTTCACTGTTGTTACATTGTAAAATACTTATTAGCTTTTGAAAGATAAAACCACGGTAATGTAATGCATATTACCGTGATAAAACGTTATCTCTATACTCAGTAAACAAAATCAGCAAAATAATAAACAGAGCTAGTTTAATAATCGAATGTTATTATATTTTCTTAGAAACTACATTTCTATTACATTTTGAATTATTTTCTATAATAATAATAATAATAATAATTCTTTATTTCAGACCCTTGATCCATAGTACACATACAATACAAATAAAAATAAAATAATATAAACAATATAAATTACAAATAGAAACTAGGTGGCAATATCCACCCAGCGTCGGTACATTGCTGACAGCATCTATCCCGTCATTGGATTTGAAATGAAATATAAATAATAATAGTAATACCATAATGTAGTATTTTTCAATTTCCTGATAATCTATTAAAAAGTACTGGATTCTTAATATTTGGATTTGCGTCAGATATTTTCTTAATGTGACATTTTGCCTGTGTGTGTGTGTTTTTTATTTCTTCACTTTCAATCGGCTGAACGGATTTGAGTGAAATTTATACACAGATAGACTATGATCTAGAGTAACAACTGACGTAATATAGATTACTACTGATTCACCCTCGATCCGCTCGGGTTCATTCCTAGAAGTACGTTTTAATAGTTAGTATCGATTTCTCAGAGATTATATATTTTCCCACAGTAAAAAGTATCCTATATGTTGACCCGGATAACCAGCTATCATCATACCAAATTTCATCAAAATCTGTTCAGTGGTTTTCTCGTGATGCGTTCCGAGACAGACAGACAGCAAACAATCTAAAAACTATACTAACGTTGTCATATTTCATCCTGCTTGTCAAACTTCACAAAGAAAAAGAGTTATATAATTCGATCTATTGTGTGCATGTAACGCTATCTTCGTCGACTGTAAACGAATTCAAATATACTCAATTATTCATAATACGTGCTAGTTACAATATGATTATTATACTGTATCAACCACTTTCGAATTCTTTATTTTAGTTTATATCTATGTAGGTACCTACTTAATTCAATTTCAATTACTTTTACAATTACTGAACTCGAAATACAGTCAGTGTTCCTGAGCTATAATACTTGTATATTTTTATTCTGTATTTTTGTGTAAAATTACAGTTGAATCCGCAGTTATACTTCAGGCTAGCGATTTAAACCCAACATCCTCTCCCCCTTCCCATCCCCATCCCCTCCCCCTCCCCCCACCATCACCCTGTCCCTCCTTTACTCGGGTGCGTGTCTAGATGACTTTTTAGTCTATAGTCCTATTAGTCTTAGTAATGGGACTAATTAGTGAAAGAATTTTCGGAATCAAATCGCTAGTTTCAGAGATACCACCAACATACAAAGAGTCCTTATAATATTAGTGTAGGTTACTTGTGTTGTGTGTTCTTTCTAATCTCAGAAACTGCTTTACAGATTTTCATACAGATTTAGGCACATTCAAACATGCAAAAAAATTTCCTCTATAATAATAGCGTTAATAATTGTAGGAAGTCGGTATATTCGCGGATTCAGCTTTCGAGTTATATTAAAAGATTACGGAATACGACTACTAAGCCGGCAAAGCAACATACTCGTATGAGCAAATTATTTTAAACCTTCATCACTTACCGTTAGTGTACCCTATATTGATGGTAGTAACAACAGCGCCAGTACAAGAAATGCCTATGATGGTGCTCCAAAATTCTCGGCGATTTTCAGAGCTGATACCGATTACGTCCCCCTTTTTAACACCCAAACGGGTCAATGAGATTGCTAAATTTAACGCTTCTTGGGCTATTTCATTGTATTTCAACTCTTCGTGTGTAGAGCCATTTATCTGAAATCAAGCTTTTATGTTTATCTGTTATCTGCTTTGGAATTATTTTAATAGCATTTTGGTTGGTTCGTTACAATAGTAACATTCAAATTCTGTTTCTCATTGAGATTTTGGTTTGAGAGTTTTTTTTTACTAATTTAGACATAAATACGTTTTATTTTATATTATTTATTTTCCTATTATGAATTAATTATTATTATAAAATCGCCTTTTCTCTTTGATAAATAATCCTACCTACGTATATTATAAAAATAAAAGTTTGTAATCATGTGTGGATGTATGTATGTTTGTTAGTCTTGTACAGAAAAACTTCTGAGCGGGGTTTGATGTAACTTTGCAGTAGGTATATAGTTTACTAGCGAATCACCCTCGCTCGGTTTCGTCCCTAGCTTGCTTCCCCATACAAAGTTTCACACCCATTTTCACTCCCTTAAGGGATAATTTCCGGGATAAAAAGTATCCTATGTCCTTCCCAGGGTCTCAAACTATCTTCTTACCGAATTTCATCAAAATCAGTTCAGTAGATACAGAGATTACCCCCACAACGTCACACACTCACAAACTTTACCTCTATAATATTAGTATACACTAGCTATTTACTAGCTGCGATTTCACACGCATTGTTTATCTATGTGTTGTTTCGCTAAAAATCTTCGCGTGATGTTGTACAATCTAGAGCTAAAATCTTCCTCAACAAATAGATACAACGTAAAAAGGATTTTTATTACGCGGCATAATAGTTTCAAACATTAGCGCGATAAAAAATATCAGTAAAAACTCTTCTGATTCATACATTATTAAGTATATAATATACTTCTATAATATACATAGTTATACATAATGTAAAGAACAGTGTAATATATAACAAAAAAATAAAAACCGACTTCAAACAAAAGCGCTAAAAAGTAAAAAATAACTGATTGGTAGTTTTCATTTACTATACATACCTAATCAAATATTTTCGAAGTCGAAAAAAAAAATACAGTCGAAATGAGAACCTCCTCCTTTTTGAAGTCGGTTGACAAACTGCTCAAGGTGTTTCATATGTACTCACCAAAGCTACTTTCTCTTTGTTGTTCCACAATTTATTTAGGAGATATTCACTAAAATTCAAGTTAGCTGACACACAGCGGTCGTTAGGACCATACACATATTTAGGATGTTTTATCATGACGTCCGATTTACAACGCGACTAAAGTTATTCTAGCTTTATAAATGTGTATTCTGTATAAGTACGTGTAATATATTCTGACGATCTGATGCTATCTTCATACTAGATGCTTGCATGGCCCCATTTATAGCGTAACAGTAAATAAATTGTGCAGTAGTAACGTAGTGTTAGACTAAGTGTGGTGAGTGTGGGTTCGATTTATGATTACTTTTTATTTTTCATTCATATGCTTCGATAGTCTAGTGGCTAGTATGTACGGTTGTAGATCCCATAAAGGGGTAAAAAAGGGTTGATGAAAGTTTATATGAAACGTACTTTTTTAGAGATATTTTGTAGTTTTAGCGTGAGCGAAGCCGCGGGTTCTGCTAAATTTAAAAAAAAATACAAAAAATCTATCCATTATGTAGGAATGTACAATATTCTTTTTCTATTATTCTTTATTTCTTTTTTATTTTATTTCTTCCCCATTAAATAAATTTAAGAAAAATAATGACGTAAAAATTGTAAAATAATTGTTTAATACTATATAATACTGTTATTGGATTATTTAGAAAATTACCAATAGATGTCACCACATGTTTGTGAAATACACAAACTTCCTACTTATATTAAATATCTTTATACCACTAAAAAGTTATAAAAAAAAACAATTTAAAAACACGCTATCATACACGCCACAGCTTCGCTATAGATCAAAGTTTATTTTTGTTATTAGTCCTCTCAAGATGACGTCACTCTCGTTGTCAATTGTGAATTGTCATCAACATTCAATAAACATAGCAATTAACATTGTAATAATATAACATCCCATAGATCAGTTTATATATATTAAGTATTATATGTTAAGTAAGATATGTAATTTTATTGATTGCTAGCATTTTTATTCTGCAAAATATAATAACTGTGGCTTTAATTTTCGTAAATAATTAAATATTAAATTTAAATTACTACTAAGGAAGGGGAGGGGGAGAGGGGGGGGGTTAATAGCAAACAATAATTATACTCGTTGTTAGGTATACAATATATTATATTTAAACAGATCTGAGGACTCAATTTTTTCCCGTATTTGCAATAAAGAAAAAAAATAGGTGTATAAATAATTAAATATTTTTATATATTTTTTTCTTTTAAATAATGCAGCAATATATTTTCTTTTTATTGTGACAGACGCAGAAAATCATCGTCTACCAGATAAACAAAAAATAAAGATAGCTATATATTTTTTTTACAAATTACGAGATTATAAGTACTATTCTCGTATGTACCTATCCATTTTTTTTTTGTAAATAAATGTTATTGATGTAGATAATATTATCTTGTCACTGTTATTATACTAATAAAGTATAATTTCTTATTACCTTATCGGGCTAACTTTATAGTTATGTTTCATTAGATATAAAACAAATCTATACATAAAATAAAATTCTAACTGAGCAGAATTTATAGATTAAATATTTTTTGGAAAATCTTATTGAAATAGACATTATTATCGATACAGAGGCCGAATCTATAGTTTTTAGAATTTTTGTCTGTCTGACTGTCTCTTACCGCATCACGGGAAAACCACTGGACGGATTTTGATGAAATTTGGTATGGTGCTAGCTAGTTATCCGGGTCAACATATAAGATACTTTTTATTGCCAGAAAATATCTCATTTCTGAGAAATCCATACTATATATTAAAATGTAGGTAAGTAGGGACGAACTCGAGCGGAGCGAGGGTGAGTCGCTAGTATTTGATACAACTGTACAATTCTCAGCGAGATATTGACTACAAACATAAGAATATTTGAAACTTTTGAGCACTGAACAAATTTAAAATACCGAAACAAAGGTGTTATTCAAGTTTATATGAAACATATTGTTTTATTCCGATTTTCCTTGTATTTAACAATTTGTTACTTTAAATTATTTTCATGTTGTACCTGTTTATTATTTTGTAATGGCCTCTGAAAAACCTTCATTTTGATACTCCACTCGATTGGTTGGGGAGTAAAAATGTTTGGCGATTACTCCTTAAGAATCGATTTTCATATAAGGTCCTCGATATGTCAATTTTACAAAGAATGAAATTAATTAAAACATTAACTCAAAAGCTTTACGTTTTACGTTATTGTAAATCCAATATGGCGAATTCCCAAAGATGACAGAAAGTTTTTTTTATGCACCCCATGATATGGATATTAAATGAAAGGGTTTGCTGAAAAAGATACGAAAGAAAACATGATTTTAAATTTTTTCAATTAATTCAATTTTTATAATAATATAAAATATTTTAAATGATCAAACATTCTTATTCTTGTAGGAGTAAACTTCAGTCGTGCGTCCGAGCTCTTTTTTTTCAAGACACAAATTGGCCCTTATAAATCCGCCATTTTTTTTTTATAATAGCCATATAGGTACCCTATAGTCACACGTTATCAAGATGTCGAATAGATCTAACGATATATAAATCATCAAAATCGGTTGAGACATTCAGTAAGTACGAGGGAACATAAGATCGCACGTATGTATATGTAATTATATACATACAGGTCGAACACATAACTTTAACGCCTTTGGTCTTCACAGTAGTCGAATGAAACAGCTTAAAAATAATTTTTGCAAATTAAAAAAAAATCCAAACAATGAATGTTTGTTTTGATATTCAAATACAAAATATTTTATCAATTAATCAAGTTTATCATAAATTAAGTTTAAGATAACATGAAATTCATTTGAACTTCAAACGCTCTTGTGGTACATTGCCCTTATTTATATGTAAACAAATAAAAAAAGTGTAAATTGTAGGTATAAAGTTTCACTGTCAAAACGAATATTTTTATTTAAAGATAACGATTAGTATAGATTTTTCAGAGATGAGATATTTTCCTGCAGTAAAAGTATTCTATATATTGACCCGGATAACCAATCTCATACTAAATTTAATCATAGTCTGTCCAGTGGTGTTCTCACGACGCGTTCCCAGACAGGCAGACAGACAGACAGACAAAAATTCTAAAAACTATAGATTCGGCCTCTGTATCGTTAATAATGACTATTTCAATAATATTTTCCAAAAAATATTTAATGTACAGATTCGAATCAGAATTTTATTATATGTATAGATATAGCAAAATTCATTTTGCATTTAATGACTCGCCATTTAACTGTAGTAAACTCAAAAATGTAAACACTACCATCTACATATATATACAGAGTTCAAACTCATTTCCTAATTTCTGATTTTATAATAACACTGCCTTGGTGGTGCAGCGGCTATCCTGTACTGCTGTACATCCGGAGGTCCTGTGTTCGAGTCCCGGGTCGGGATAAATTTAGTTTAAGTCTTTTTGTTAAGGAAGCCTCAATAACAGCCCGGAGTTGGGAAGTTAGCGGTGTTGCACCCCCGTGCCTCGGAGAGCACGTAAACGTCGTCGGTCCTGCGTCTCTTCTCTCACTGGTCGCGTCTCGTATCGTCCCACCGGAGTATGGGAGTGACAGGAATAGAGAGTGCACTTGTGTTTGCACTATAATATCTCCTGAAAATTAGGTTGCACAAAAGAATAAAGTCAAATTAACAATGACCTACTCGTATTGAAGGCAGACTTTCTTAGGAAACAGTTTGTGCTTTTGTGCGTTACTTACAATAAATTAAAAAAAAGAAAACCTCGCCTATTCGTAGGAATAAAAGTGCATCGATAATTCATAGCGGAGAAAGACGAGTAATTTATGTTTTTAAGTACTTTAAATTAATTTATATCCATTATACATATCTTATAAAATATGTTTGAATTGAATTTTTACTCCACTGTGAATACACCTTTACCCTGCAGTTACACTTATGACTCACTGTTTTCTTAAGGCGAATGGTCTATTATCCAATGAGTTTTTCCGCCACGGCCTGAATCGGTCATGAGGATAATTTGTATATGTACTTAAGTATACATAATAATGTATAGGCACAAGGCGTATGTATGTACGTCCATATCTACTTGGTGTGCCAGCGGTCGCGGGGTCGAGTCCCGCTGGGGGCATTCATTTGTGTGATGAGCACGAATATTTGTACTTTAGTCATGGGTATTTGTATTTATAATATGTATGTATTTAAAGTTATATGTGTAGTGTATCAACTATCTGGTATCCATAAACACAAGCCCCGTAGCTTAGTATCTAGTAATAATAAGAAAAAGAAATGGAATAAAATAAAACTCATGTATAGATAATATTATTAGTATATTGCGATCACGCTAGATAGCTATACGTGTCCTTCTCTCCCTCTGTGCGCTCCAAGTACTCCTTCTCGATCAGTATGTCGATGCATTTCTGGAAAATATTCATAGAAAATTAATTCTTCATCAGAGAGATGCCCGGGATATGAACCCGCTTCACTTGGTTTCCAACGCGTTACCATTTGTCTTACGGTGAAGGAGAACATCGTGAGGAAACCTGCATCTCTGAGAGAACCTAGTAAGTTTTCGAAACACATGTGAAGTCCGCCCACACTCGGCCAGCGCAGTGGGCTATGACCTGATCCCCTCTTATTGAAGGGAGGCCTACCCCCAGCAGTGGGACAGTAAAAAGGGCTGAATACAACATCATATAGATATACAGTCGTCTAACGAAGGCCTTAAGCAAAACGATTGTATGGGTCGAGTTAACGCGTTGACTTTAATTCAATTCTCTTATACGGACGTTATCCTGCCCAAAAGTCAGCTTTTCGTTTGGATGGCATAACTGATTTCGATAATAAAACAAATACTATAAGACAAACACAGAAAATTTCATTAAAATTGGTCCAGGCGTTTAAGAGTTCAGTATACACGTACAGAAGAATTATTTATATGTTCCGACATTATAACGTATGTCGTATCTAGTAATAAAAAATAAAAAAATCCTAGAACCCGATTGCAGCACCATGTACTGGATCCGGTTGTAAATCTAAACCTTCCCATTAAAACACACTCAAAAAAATCATCAAAATCGGTCCAGCCGTTTAGGAGGAGTTCAATGACATATGTATAGATAACCAAACCTTGATGACAGGCACTCGTGGTTTGAAACGTGAGGAGAGCTGGTTGAGCACTTCCACTACCAGATGTTGGTGCTTCAAAGTCTTGCGGGTCTTCATTATCCTCACTATGGCGGCCTGTGGACAGATAGAAATCGTGAATAATACTAGCGGATTGAACAGACATTATCCTGTCCGAAAAATTAAAAAAATATCCTAAAATCGGACTGCAGCGCCACCTATCCGGTCCCGTTTTCAATCTAAACCATCTAGGAAGCCTCTCAAATACACACACACACACGCACACTCATACTCACCCACTCACACAAAAATCATCAACATCAATCCAACAATCTTATTGCATTTTTTCGCGGATTTATTTTGATTTTTGGTTTCCGGCATTTCGACTGCTTTACAGCAAACAAAGGATAATCCGAAAAGATAGTTTCATTTAAAATGTCAAATATTCGTGTAAATCTAGGAGAGTATTATAAATCCAACCATTTAGGAGAGAAGTTCAGTGACATACACACATATAGACACATACAGAATAATTTAATATAAAAAAAAGATAAAACGATGAAATTATTATACATATTAATTATTATTATTAAAATGATTACATACCTGTATGAGCATCTTACGGTCCTCCTCGATGTGCTTGTGTGTTGCCTCTTGCTCCACCTTCAACTCCGTTTTCAATGGTATATTTATGTTTACACGAAGCTTTTTGCTATAAAAAAAAAAACAAATTAAAAAAAAAATTACACAAAAAATATACATTTGTTTGTCTGTTTGTAAACCAAATGTGGCTAAAATAATTTTTACCGTCCTTTCCAAAACCGATAAGATTTTATTTCGAGATTTATGGTAGTTTTTAATATGTTCTTATTAGATTCACTTGTAAGTATCAAAGCAATGTTTTAGAAGTCAATACAATAATTTGGTACCATCGAGATAATCTGATGAAGACAGGGAGTTAGATGTAAGGGAGCAAGTATATAAGCTAACTCCATATTATAAAACAAAGTTCCATCGCCGCGACTGTCTGTCTGTCTGAACGCGATAAACTCAAAACTACTGAATGGATTTTCATACGGTTTTCACCAAAGGAATGACTTACAAGAAAGAGTAGAGCTGTATAAGTTAATTACAGGTTTAGTTAAAAATTAAAATTAATGTCTAATTGGATATCTATTCACGTGCGCCTGTAAACCAATAAATTTATATGAAAACAACTAGCAGAACCCGCTTACAAAAAAAAACTAAAAATTTAGTCATTCCGTTTCGACGTGAAAGAAATACAAACAAACACACTTTCACATTTATAATATTAGCATGGATGTATCACGGAAATATATCTTTTAAAAAGATCTATTAGACTGTAGCAACGCTATTTGTACGTACATAGGTTACGAATTTGAGCAAAGCTAGAGTAATGCCCGATTTCACCAACAACCCATAAGCTACCACCTACGTATGGGATCCCTAGCTTAAAAGTCCCCTAAACTAGCCCCTAAATTAAATTTCGTTTTACGATCGTCTTTAAGCCCATATTTCGATCATCTAAATTTAGGGATCCTTTAAATATTTAGGTGACCCCTAACTGTCGGTGAAACAGAAACTGTCCCCTAACAGCCCCCTAACCATGCTTAGGGGATCCCTTAAACTTAGGTGACGTTGGTGTAATCGGGCATAAGACTTGTATTAAAATATGAATAGAAAACAAAGAAAACTATAGAGCACTCACTTTTTATATCCTACATATAATTCAACAATGGACGACTCCAACAACTCGGACTCGTCGTCTTGACACACCAACAGCTTGGCTTTCAGCAAAATCTGTAGTACCTGTATGCAAAATGTTCGGATATGAATTTAAAACTATACAAATAAATAAAATTGCAGTGTCTGTCTGAGATTCTAAAATATTTATATTTTTATTTTTCAAATACATAACAGTTATTTTATATGTTAGTAGTATAGTATCTAAACAACCGTTTTTAATATTTTTGTCTGTCTTACTGTTTGTCCGGGGTAATCTTTGGAAAGACCTAGCAAATAGTACGTTCTAAGAGAAGACTGGACAAATAACCCTTAGGATTTCCGAAAAATGACCTCCAGATAATGCGTCGAGCCTACGAGGAATATGGAAAGCTAAATACGTTTATGGAATGGAGATTGGATGGATTTAAAACTGGACTATTGGATGAGACTACCGGACGTCCGTCTCACGTCTGTTCAACAGTCTCAGATATATATTGCAGTTTTTTTTGCAATTTTTAAATAGTGATGTGTGCCAAAATTAATAATGTGAATTTTAACGATACACTTTGAAATATAAAACTTTGAATTAAATCGTCTAATAAAGATGAAAAGTTACGTTTCAACAAACCGGCATCGTAGGTACAACACTGCACAAAAGAGCTGGCAGCATTATTTGTAAATTTGACATTTGCATGTGTCAATTTAGTCTTTGATGTTAAAAAAATCAGACTAGATGGGCCCCCACTAAGCGAGGCACCCATAAAACGGGGGTCCCCCACACGATGTTATTATTATTATTACCTGTATAAGGAAATCTCCTTTGATGCCAGTATGTTGCTCGAGCTGACGCACCGACCATGACGTGTTGTCATTATACTGAAGCAGGACCGCCATTTGGAAGGTGCTCGCTTGTAATGTGTATCTGGAAAGAAAACTTTGCATTTAGCCTTTTTTGAAGTTATACTTCTTTTGGCACGTTTGGATAAAATTACGACAGTAAAATTTTCGCGCACACCGACAGCCAAAGAGCGACATGATGAAGTTAGCTGTATTCCTTTTACAAGCAGAGAGTTGTGACATACGGGATGAAATCTTTAGCTATATTTGTTCTGTTATTCCAAAGAAGTATAACTTCTTACGTGCATACGTAAATAAGTACACACACACGTTTTTTTTAACAGCCCACTGCTTGGCGCGGGTCATTGACCTTAAACCCAAAGGTTTTACAGTTTTAGGTTTCGGTTATATTGTGAACCAGTTAAAATCCGGAAAACGGTTTTTGATAATCGAAAATTAACCGGTTAACACAGAAAGGGAATTGGGAATATGCGTGTAATTTAAATAAAGTTGAAATATTTATTCATCATCTTTAATAATTCTGAATAAGTTAATATCAATATTTTTAATGTAATTCATATTTGATTAAGAAAATAATTATTGAAAAGTACAAATATGAGTGAGAAATTCAAAGTAGTTGAAACGCAACGCCATTGGTGGGACCGAATGTGACGTCAGAGTATATCATAACAGAGCGCTGTTGTTTGGTGTTTGAGATTGTTACTAACAATCTAGACTTGTTTACTGCAATATGGTCATAGACTAGAAAGTCACATCAAACGCGACAAAATGGCGGTGTTGGTATATTTTTTAAAAGTTTTTTTGGAGCTAGATATTATTTTAACAATTATATAACGATTTAAGCTATTTGTATGTAAGTATAAAAATTATCACACCTATTACCTATTGCTTAGCAAAAGGATATACATGTACGCTTCTGGAATTGACCAGTTCATTTCAATGTCAAAACCTGTCAAAAAATTCTGTCTCTAAGAATAACCGTTTACTACTATTATAATAATATAAATAACCATTATTATTTCGGTTCACTAAACCGTCCGTTTTTATTTACCGATTAATTAACGAGCGATGAATTAACCAGTACTTTACCGAAATTAACCGGTTTCTTTAAACCGGTAAATCCCTAGTAAGTAAATAAAATAATAACTTACCTGTTTTTAAAGCAATTAGTAACAAGCTCGCCCTTGCTCATATTGTAAAGCCAATTCAGCTTTCTTCCAGAGTGTTGAGACGAATAGAACGTTGTGAATCTGTGCACTGAACGCTCCAACTGAAAATCAAATTTAAATTATATATATGTACATTATAAACTTAATTTATTTTAATTAAATTTAAGTTACTTTAGTTATTGAGACTCCCTGTTACGAAAATCCCAGCAACAATCCGAAGTATTTATATTTATATAGTTGTTGCTACTTGTTTTACCTCAGTTATCATTATGTATTACCTCGGTAATTATTATTTATTACCTCAGTAATTATATATTACCTCGGTAGGCAGTTGGAAGCTGGAAGACTGCTGGAAGGGCCAGGATCCAGAAGACAGCACTTGTATACTAAAATCGATGTGCAGCGGTTGCTCGGAACTATTCGCCATGTGCTTACGGAAGTTCTCGTTTAGGTCCTTTGACACGCCTATATCCTGAAAATTAAAATTAATAAATAAAAAATATATAGTATAGTCTGTGTTTATAAATAATATAATACATTATATATACTATTTGTAATAAAATTGCAAAGTAAAGAAATATTTTTAGAAAATTAAATTAACTTATAATAAAAAAGTATCAATATAGAGTATAGACATTTTTTTTATTTTTCACCTTCTTTCTATTTATCTATTCTGTGTGTAAAGTTAACAAAAATACTGGATGCAAGTTTAATTAAATTTTGTACAATAAATATAGAAGAAAATATCGATTACCGATAACAAATATCAATTAACTAAAAGAAATAATATTTTAACTTCTCACTTACTTGGAACATCCTCTGCAACTTGCTGGTATATTCGAAACCGCACGCTTGCTTCAACTTTGAGATCATCGAGGCCTGTAATAAAATACTATTTTAGACACTTAATGCTTTACGAGACAAATTATTATTTAAACTTTGAATAATAATATAAAAAATGTTTTAACGGGAAAAAAAATATCCAACGTGCATATAAGACATCCGCCATAAACAATAGCATTCCCAAGGGGGTTGATGTCAGGCAATCCTATCAGCAGTACGCAAGATGTACTGCACCGACCCCAAGTGATTGGGAAATGGGCAGGGAGATAATGATGATATATTATACTATAACGACTAAACAAATTTGAGTGAAATTCAAAATAGATATAGTTTATAAAATAGACTACCATATAGGCGGCTAGATTTTATCATAATTTAAAAAAAATAGAATACAAAATGTAAACATTTATAATACCTCTGCATCGTCACTGGCGGAAATGTGCTGGACTAAGCGCTTGGCGAGCATTTTGCTGTAGAACTTCTGGAAAACGTCCTTGTCTTCGATGTACTTGAACACCACCATCTGTTTTGGATCAAATAAATTATATTAATAACCATTTTAACTAATTTTGAATAAAATATATATAGTATATTTTAGTTAAGTTATAAATCGCCGCCTTAGTGCTTATTTAACCCATCATATTGTGAACATAATCCGATTCAAATAGGGAAGCATAGTAGTTTGTAATTTTAATTATATTTTTTTAACTCACCCTCGCTTCGCTCGTGTTCGTTCCTAGGTTGATTTCCCATACAAACATTCATCCCCATTCCCCACCCCCCTTAAGGGATGATTTCCGGAATAAAAAATATTCTTTGTCCTTCCCAGGATCTCAAACTATCTTCTTGCCAAATTTTATCTAAATCGGTCCAGCAGTTTTTGAGTTTATTCTTTACGAACATACCAAAATACAAATCTTTCCTCTTTATTATATTAGTGTAGATAACGCGCCAAAAGAACCTAACTTCCAAAATATACTTATTTTACCTCATTTATGACTATAATAATATATTATTTTTTATTAAAACACTAGCATAAAAACAAATGTTGTGGTGTCCCTAGACAAAAACAAATCTATCCCACGGGAACAATACATTTTTCCGGGATTTTCCTAAGATTAGCGCGTTCTAATAAACAAACAAACTCTGCCTCCTTTATAATATTAGTATAAATAACGAACAAGCACTCACAACTTGGTTGAGGGTATCCTCCAGCTCGGCCTCCTCCGGGTTCTTGCTGGACTTCTTCAGCAATAGATCGCAGTACTTGGCCAAAAGTTCTGGGCTTTTAGACGAGGAGTTAGCTGCTTTTGTCACTGCGTTACCTGTTGGCAGGTGAAATGTTTTAATGTATAGATTATAGCTAGTTTTTGCTCGTGACTCTGTTTGCATAGTGAGTGGAAGTATGAAACGTAACCTATGTCGATCCATATGTTGTATAATATATGTACTTTTCAAATTTCATCGACATATGTTCAGCAGTTTAGGCCGGTCGCATATTAAATATTTTTTTTTTCTATCAGAAAATTTCTGACGCCCGCCGGTACTACCCAGCACACCCATCAGAAACTTCGCTCTAGCGAGTCTGACAATGAGTTTAGTTCGCGGAGTCCGCTCGAGAACTGATGCTGATTTCTAATAAGTGTACGGAGTCTAGTAAAAAATGTATAGAGAGCGCGATATTCGACGTTCAGATCAGAAAAATTCCGACCTCCTAACGGCGTAATCCGGTGCTCATTAGTCATAATTCTGGTAATATGCGCGGTCTAGATCGAAACATACGAGCAGAGTGCCTTCCGGCGGCCGTCCGATATTTTCTGACAGAATAAAATCTTATGATATGTGGCCGGGCCTTAGACGCGAGTTACTTTAACATTTTTAATAAATACTAGTATTTATATCAAATTTTATATTTCCAAGTTATATTTTTGAACTATTATATCCATTACTAAGGCTTTTTACTGAAAGGAATAATATTGTTTTTTTTTTTATAGTAATGAAAATATTTTAGTAATTCTTTAAAAATTAATACTTTCTTTAAATAAATAACCAACTCAAGCGACTAAATCTCCCGAAATAATACATAAAAATCTATACACTGAGCTATCACCTTTGATTTTAATGGAACTGTCAAATGCAAGGGCTGTCAAAAAGACCAAACTCTCTACTAAATCACACTTACTGTTAATAAATCTCCCACAGGCTTTGTCCAAAGCCATGACGAAGCCAGAGTCGTTGTTGAAAGCGACCAACACTAGAGCGTTGTATTTCTTGTGCACCTCCAATATGGTTGATACATACACTTTCGGGTCCTGTAATATATAAAGAATTATTAATTACTAAAAAACTTTCGTCCCCATTTTCACACCCTTAACACCTTCACTGCGACAAATAAATCATAAACTCACATCCCACGATCCGAAATATATTTTTATCTCTGACGAACACTAACAAATACCTAATATAATCGTTCCGCACCAGCCAGAGAGACATAGTTATGAGCGTGCGCACCAACCCTAAGCACCGCGGTGCACCCACGACTGGAGTAAAAACGAAACACTCGCACCCATCACACAAACGAACGCCCCCAGCGGGACTCGAACCCGCGACCGCTGGCACAGCAAGTAGGGTTTCACTACAGAATGAGCCAAACGTGTCGTCATACATAATATTAGTATAGATACACTCACAGTATGCGCGGCGTCCCCGCACTTGTCGACAGCGTGCAGCCCCTGCGCGTGTATGTGCTGCTCGAGCAGACGCCGCAGCTCCCCGAGCCCGTCTGGGATGCGAGCCACCAGCGCGTACATACGACCCAAGTCCGTGTTCTTGTCCAGATCGAGGAGTTTCTGGTGGTGTAAAAATATATTTAGATAGATATATTGATAGAGATAGCTAGACAGATAAAGATAGATAAATATGTAGCTTATTTCACACACATGCAAAGGCGGTCTTGTTGCTATGAGCAACCTCTTACAGACAAGCTTTGGTGAAAGTATTAGTGCAACCGTAGACGGGATGGTATTTATTAAATTTCAATAGGAATACGTATTTAAATTTGCTTCAATAGTGGGTAGACGATTAGGAAAAGGGGCAGTTATAGCCCAGTTGCAACGTGCTGGAGAAACCGAGTGACGCGATTATACCCTACATCCAAACCCACAAATTTTTATCCTCTTTATAATATAACATTAGTGAAAAAATGTATATATACAAACCTGAAACTCCGAATGGAACAGTTCTAGATGCTTCTCAATGAGCACCCTATCGGCGGTCTTGGCGAGTCTCTCCATGGTCGTCTCGTGCAGGTACACTTGAACTCGCTTGTGCTCTTCTTGGAGTCTCTGTTCAGCCTGGAAATATGAATGGATGTTAGCAATTCAATTCAATTCTCATGTTGATGGCTTCAAAGCTTGCCAGAGTCTATAGGAGCTAAATGACTGAAATTTAATGGACAATTCTGCAGTCAAATTAGGAAAAATAATAAAAATATATTTGAAAAAAAAAAACAAATCATTTAAGCGCGCCGAGTATCGTCTTGATAGGTCTTTGTTTAACAAAAAAAATACATAATCAAACCCACACCAACCTTAATCATATACTCTGTAACAGAGTTGTTCCTGAGGAACTCCGTACTCTCTCTGGTGTAGAATCGTTCGGTATCTTCTAGGAAGACTGCTTCAAATGTATCTTTATAAATCACTAGATTCTGCCCTCTTGCAGCCGGTTCTTCATCGTTCATGCCCAGAGCCACATAGCAGTTGATCACCTGTACATATTATGGTAAAACTCAGACTAAAGAATTTTTCAATTCAATTTTATAATAAATAAATATGTTGCGACATTAATACATAGCAGCATCTAATTCCATGGTAAGCTACGAGGCTTGAGTTATAGATAACATTAAATACATACATATTATAGATATAAACCCCCATGACTGGAATACAAACATTCGTGCTTATCACACAAATTAATACCTCCAGCAGGACTCGAACCTGCGACCGCTGGCACAGCAAGTAGGGTACTACAAACTGAGTCAGTGTCGTCGAATTAATTTTTGTTTTATGGCTTTCACGTCAGTTGAGCACAAATTTCTTCGCCAATGTCACGTAGAATGGAGAAAAAACGAAGGATTGTCATATAAATAAAATCACACATCAATCAATCAATCAATCAATATATCATAAAACTCATATGGTAAATCCTAGAGCAAAATAAATTAGCTATTAATTAAAGAAAAATTGTCAAAGACATCCCTTAACATAACCTCCTCCTTTTCAAAGTCGGTTCAAACGAAAACCACTCACCCCTGACACAAGTCTAGTGTTGATCGTCTCCCCATTCCTCTCTTTCTCAATCAATTTGAGTACAGCATTTGTGACCTGCTTATTCAACCGCTGGAACAAATGGTCGCGCCACGTGACTAAAGCCAGCTGGTAGATCTCGTATATACCCTGAAAATTTATACTTAATATTAAAAATATTACAGTTTGATTAAATAAAAAAAAACGTGTGTGTGTACTTATGTACGCACGTAAGAAGTTATACTTCTTTGGCGTAACAGAACATAAATAGCTAAGGATAAGCGTATGTCACAATTCTCTGCAAAAGGAATGCAGCTAACTTCATCATGTTGCTTTTTGGCTGTCGGTGTGCGTGTGCATGGTATAAATTTTACTCTAATATTTTTTTCCAAATGTCCCAAAAGAAGTATATCTTCAAATATCATCAATATTGCTGCTTTTAAAAAAAAACATTCTAATCAGCCGAAAATTCAAGTATATAATTGAAACAACACTAATATAAGATACCTTACCTTTCTCCCTTCTTCGCATTCACGCTTGACCCAATGCCTATTGAGGTACGAACATACGCCGTTTAGCACTCGGGAAGAGAACTGGTACTCTTCCCACTGCGTTGTGTAGAAACCGAGTACATCTTCTCCCATTAGATCTACTCCGTGCTGTGAAAATGGAGACGATGATAAGAATCAAGTCTCGCTCTCTATTCTTGTCACTCTCATACGTCGGTGGGACGACAATTCGACACGACCAGTAAGAGATAAGACTCAGCACCGACTTTACGTGCTCTCAGGCACGGGAGTGAAACACCGCCAAGTTCCCAACTTTGTGCTGTTACTGAGAATTTATTGACAGAAAAACCCAATAAGTAAACTTGTCCCGACCCAGGATTCGAACCCGGGACATGAAGATTTGCAGCCAAATATCATAACATTGGACAACAAGGCAACGTAAATGTGAGTTTGTGATGGGTTATGAAAGTCCGTCACTAAACAATGGCTAAATCGTTTTAATGTTGCTCGAATTGCATCATACATACATTCTAAACACGCTATAATTTTATATATATATTAATTTGCATGCCTTTTTTAAATAATATAAAACTGACATTATTTAAAAAAGCCCGAAGGCTTCCAACTCTACAGCTAATTAAAATCTAAATATAGATACTTAATTAGCGAGTTACCCTCGTTTCGCTCAGGTACCTGTAATGCCTAACCTATGTGTTATTCTAGATGATAATCTATCTGCATACTAAATTCCATCCAAATTCGTCCAGCCGTTTTATCATGACGGAGAAACAAACATAAAAACATACAAGCTTCCACATTTACAACACATAGTAATATAATTAAAAACATCGATCAAAAAAGTATTAAATACACAATAAGCGACAAAAAGATGTCCTCACCGAATGAACGCTCGTTTGAACATTTGAGCGCGCTTTTAAATTTTATTTTGTGAAAATAACTTGAAGCATTGCATTTAAGGTTCAATTTACATTGTTGTATATTTATTTCGAGTAGAATAATTATCTAAACACAATTGGTGATAGTTTTAAGAAAACTTTTGCATGGGATTGTGTATTTAGTATTTTTTTGGATCGATGATTAAAAAACAATTAAAATCTCACCTCAAGTAAATTAATGAGATAATATATAAGGAAGTCGCGTAGCCTCTTGTAGAGCTCAAGACCGACCAGTTGTGCACCACCGTGCACTTGTCCTCCCTGAAGGAATAACATATACAATATACATATACGTATGTCTGTTTATCACTTCCTTAATATTGATTAGAGAAACCAAATGTTCTTCCTTCTAATGGTCTGGTTCTGATCTGGTTTACCGTTTAGTTGTTTTTAAGTACACATCTAGATCGTTTCATTAATCGATATAGTTAAATCCATTATATTTTAAAGAAAAAATTAGTGATAAAAAAGAGAATGAAATAGCAGCAGAGGGAGAGAGAAAGAGACCAAAATATATAAAAAACTCTTTGGATTTTTATTTAATCTCGCAAATCCACTTATTTTAACATTTAAATGTCAACATGCGCAATGCAAATTTATATACGCGAATCTAAACGACCTCAAAGATAAAAAAAAACATTTCACGTTTAACTTCCGATTACATTTTAATTTTCCTTTTTAGCATATTAATTGAGAACAGTTAAGTTCGCCAATGTCACGTAGAATGAAGACATGACAAAGAAAAATACGAGAAAAATCTATTCAATATACTTAGTATTTATATTTATAAAAGGTAGTGTAGATCAGTGGTAACGCTTGGGAAACCGATTGAAGCAGGTTCAAATACCGGGTCTTGCACCACTGATATTTTCATGTGCGTATCATTTCCAATATGATTAACACTTGTCTTACGGCGATGGAAGCATAGCGAGGAAGCCTGCATGTCTGAGAGAACATGTCTAGAATTTTTGGAAATTCAACACTAAAGGGGTACAAAAGGGGTTGAAAATTTATATTATGACATTCATTATTTTTAATGTGACAGTTAATCAAAATTGGAAATAATTCTCAGTTTAAAAACTAAAAAAAAAAACCGACTTCTCGATTTGATTTGTATCGGCTGGCACCGACTTCGAAAATATCTGATTAGATAGCTATAGTAAATAAAAACTACCAATCAGTTCTTTTTTACTTTTTAGTTTTTGTGTTTTGAAGTCGGATTTTATATTATTTTACAAAAATTTTATTCTTCCATTTTTAGTGTATACGTATTAGTAGCAAAGTAAAAAAAAAGGAATTTTAATAAGACATTCGCTTAAGCCGTTTAAGTTAGTTTGATACCAATTTTTATATGAAGACTGACGAACTACAATTCGCATTTATTAGTAACACTAAAAAATCTTGCTCTAAAATCCAAATCTAACGTGTTGGGCTTGTCAAATCCAACAAAATAAGCCCAAATTCAAACTATCTACTATTAGCCGTTGAAGAGTTCCACCTATCCACCTTCTGGCCTTACCATTAGATCAGGTAGACGATACGGAACCACTGCACTATCAACGGAAATAGAAACACTCGCAAAGTTTCAAGTCAATATCACAATTACAAGTAGAAATTTTGTTTAGCTATTTTTCAAAGCCTTTTTTAGCTTAAATTTAAATGGGACCAAGTTGGAAGTATAGATTTATACCGAATTCAGAACCTCCTACTTTTTTAAGTCAGTTGAAAATTACGGCTATTGTAATTGAAAATGTATTAATTTTAAATAAAACGGAAAAGTAAAACTTACTGGTTTCTTGGAATATCCAAAGTTTTTCATTGCATGCGACGGGTTGCTACTGGTGCTCGATCTTAAACTATTTATGTTTTGTTCATGTACTGATGTACAATAGTTATATATGTGACTGTTTACATTTAAGGAATTTATTAGAGTTCATCAATACAAATAATACTTAATACAAATAAATAAAATCGGAGTGTCTGTTTGTAATGTTAAAATAACAGCTTATTATTAAATGCATACATATGAAAGTATGAACGGTTCTTAAAATAAAAAAAAAATATATTTATTTTTTGTTTGTCTGTTTGTTCAGGCTAATCTCCGAAATGACTGAACCGATTTTGTCGCGACTTTCACTGGCAGATAGCTGATTTTATAAGGAGTAACTTAGGCTACTTTTATTTTAGAAAAAGAATTAGGAGTTTGAGATCCTGGGAAGGACATAGGAAAGTTGTTATCCCGGCAATCATCCCTTAAGGTTGTGGAAATAGGGACGAAAGTTTGTATTGGGAAGAACCCGAGCGAATCGGGGGTGAGTCGCTAGTCCTTTTAATCAAAAGTAAATTTAACATCTATATTAAAAATTATGTATTACAAATACAAATTTCGAAGGTTATAACTGAAGCTTTTCAACGATTGCTTTGATATTTATACCCAAACATACCTAGTGTTAAGTGTAACCTAAGTGTTTTTAAGTGGTATTTCTAGTGAACGTGGATATTTGTGTACGGAGAAAATTTTTACTATATCTTTTACGCGGATAAAACCGCGGGCTGAAGGCTGCAATATAAAAAAAAAGGATACGTGTATAACACCATGTATCTTTGTTTGTCCATAGAGCGCCGTGAATACATTTGCTCGATTCCTTCTCTTAGGTCGGCCCATATCTGAAAAAAAAAAACAAAAATTAATCAATGAAATGTCTTTAAATAACCTTTTTTTTTAACGTTGGGAAATGCATTTACGCACGATGTGTGGGACTTTTTAATAGAAAAACCCGTTTGGCCCGAACTGGGACTCGAACCTAAGACCTCGATTTTGTATTTGCACATGCCGGCCATTAGATCACACGATGCAGTTAAGTGCATCGGTGACTATACTATAAATATTTGTTGTTTAATAAAAACGTTGCGTCATTTTATGGAAAGTGATGACCACGGTGGAACAAATGAACGGGACATGAAAGAAAAGTATCTTAAATTTTGAGAATCAGGATTTTTATAAAATCCATATATGCACATTGTACATATCGGAAACGATGATCTCTTACAATTCATACACTTACGAATTTTAACTATACTTAGTTTTCTGTAATTATAAGAGACAAAGTTTGTTCGAGAGATTTTATTCTTACCATATAATAATAATATTACCCCGCCCGATTTCGTCCACAGCGGCCTATCTCATTGAGACTAGCCATCTGCGCAGGAGATATTATAGTGCACAAGTATGCGCGCAGACACAAGTGCATTCTCTATTCCTGTCACTCTCATACTCCGGTGGGACGACTACTCGACACGACCAGTGAGAGTTAAGGCACAGGACCGACGGCTTTACGAGAATTTCTTGACAGAAATACTCAATAACTAAACTTGACCCGATCCGGGACTCGAACCCAGGACCTCCGGATCTGTGACCGTACGTGCTAGTCACTAGACCATCGAGGCAGTTGAAGTCCTACCGTATAATATATCGATTAATTCATTTTTAGCCGGTTTTATTAACGGAACTTAGCTAAGCTTAGCTAAGATAAGCTAAAAACCATATTTACATTCAGTTATTTAAATAAATCTCATTTGAGTGAAACTTGCTATCTTCAATATTTAAGGTAGGTTCTTTTCCCCCACTTTTTATTCTATCGACAGTTTAGCACAAAGTAGTGGAGCCTATATACTTTCTTCCTAGGGATTCAAGAGAAAGTGCCTAGAAATACTAGGATGTAATTTTATATCCACGTATAGGTATGCTATAACATAATCTATAGGTACATATAATAAAATCGTAACTAAGCCGAATCTGTACATTGAATATTTTTTGGAAAATTTTATTGAAATAGATTCTATTGTCGATACAGAGGCCGAATCTATAGTTTTTAGATTTTTGTCTGTCTGTTTGTATGTCTGTTACCGCATCACGGAAAAACCACTGGCGGGGTTTTGATGAAATTTGGTAAGGTATTCGAGCGATCGATAGTTGGTTATCCGGGTCAACATATGGGATACTTTTTATCGCGAGAAAATGTCTCATTTCTGAGAAAAAATACAAAAACTGCATTGTAAGAGTATACTACTATGTAAAACCTAAGAATTTGGTTTTTGGTCATCGAACGCGGGCGGAGCCGCGGGCAATGCTAGTATTTGTATAAAATACTTGCTACTTTACGTAACCTAATAGATACTTCACTTCTCATCGAATTCCGGTTATAAAAACGTTACATAACGATCTAAAAACAACACAGTTTTAATTGAATTGCAACTTACGTCGTATTTATTGTTATAGCACGTACTATCTATATATATATATATATAAAAATGCAATGCTGTTTGTTGGTAAGCGTGTCGCGTGATATCTAGACCGACTTGGCAATGTTATTCTTCTAAATAATATTCTAAGGATTTCTAAAGAAAAAATATTGAATTTCCCGGAACAATGAGAAATCGTGGAAAAAGTGAAAGTTCTTTTTTCCTGTTAGATATATTAAAGGTTTTACGGTTCATGAGATACAGCCCGCTGACAAATAGACGGACGGATGGACAGCTCAGGCTTAGTAATAGGGCACCGTTGGCACCATTCGGTTACGAAACTCTTTTAAAGATATTTTGATCGATTGCAGCCGTTACTACTATAAAATTTTCTTTGTAATTGGACTACTATTAAAGTTTGTGCATCTGTGGATGTTTGTTAGCCTTTTAGAAGGAAACGGCTGGACAGATTTGGAAGAAACTTAGTATACAGATACATAGGTTATATATGACCTGGAATAACATATTGGCCACCTGGGGCCTGTTAGACACCTGGGGACGCAACCGAGCGAACGAAGTCACTGGTATTTTATAAGTAGCAGATTTACAATTTGAGAAGAACGTGGTGATATTTTTAATGCAGTAGCATCGTTGGCCTCCCGCCAATAATATTTTAATAATAAAAAAAACGTGTATCGACCCAGATTGCGATTATTATATTTAGTATTGTCATTCATAAACGCAAGGATCTCAGTACAGTTATAAAATCTTTACTTACAAATGAGAACATATGTCTATATGTTTTTATGCATGAGTCAATAGATTTCGATGAAATTCGAAGATGGCTGACTGAATGACTTAAAATATTTTTTTTCGTAAGTAATTAAGTATTATTTTATGTAATTAAGTTAATATGCAAAATAATTAATCTATCCCACGGGATACATAAATCAAAAACACAATCAAATTAAACAAAAAACTAATCCATCTCACGGGAATCGTACTTTTTTCCGGGATAAAATTAACCTATGTGCTATTCCAGATTCCAAACTTTCGCATTTATAATATTAGCGACTCACTCTCGACAACAGATACCCAGACAAACATACCTAGGAGAAAAAAATACTGAACGGCACTGTTTTGTCTTAATCTTTTTTGTTTTTATATCTTCTATGTAAATAAAAAGGAATGATCGTTTGTTAGTCCTCTATGAGTTTCTAAGCCATTGATCAGATTATGACGAAACTTTAATATATATATATATCGATATAGATAAAAAGACTTTTTCTTTGAAAGTTCCTAAACCAAAAAGTAAAAGTTGCCAGGAATTTTATAAAAATACTAGAACCGTCTTTTACATTTAGGGAAACGATGTACCTATCTATATTTGTTTATATTACACAAATGTACGTAAATGGTAAATTTTAAAAAGTTTTGATTGTGTAGTGTACACAGATTACACTGTAAGAGCTTTCGTTAAATTTTTCGTTAAGAAATGTAACTTAATGTAAAAAAAATATATAAAAAATTGACGATTCAAAAGCTTGTAATAGCCTGCGTCAATACAGAAACAAATCTAAAATGGCAGCGTCGATAATGCCTTATCAATTGCACACTTGCTAATGAAGACCGTGCGAGAAATGTAGAGGGCAGCACTATCATCCCCCCATTGTTTCATTCCCGAAGATAGTAGAATTAAAACATTTATAAACACAGAATATTTATAAAGGTAAGTAGATATTTTATTTTTGTATTAAAGTTTTCACGTCAAGTCTAAAGAGAAAGCTCATACATAACAATAATAATTAAAGGACGTAATATTAAGAACTCAGGTGAACTGCCTTCATTGTTTCTCATGATTACGTGGCAAAGTTGTAATGCTTCAAGAAAAATTATGTAAAAAAAGTGCCCAAGTTCATATTATGAAATTAAAAAGTTTTTTGTTCGATAAATACAAGTTCGTATCTAATTAGGTACTTATGTTTTCACTTTTTACTTATAATAGAAAAGACTTTGAAGGCAGTGGTAGCCCAGTAGTGGCGCATTTGCTTGGGAAACAGAGTGAAACGGGTTCAAATCCCGGGTCTCGCACCTCTGATATTTTAATATGCGAATCATTTCCAACATGATGATCATGGAAAACGTAATGAGAAAACCTACGAGTTTGAGAGAAAAATTATGTAAAAAAATAATATGTAAAAAGAACCTTGCATGTTTTCGAATAATATGTGATAAATTAAGTGTTATTGAAAATAATGTGTCTGCATTATATTGTTTTATATCCGCCATTTTAAACCAAAGATGAATTTAAATTGTCTATGGGTGATATTCTACCTAGATTGCCTTAGTATCTTTTTTGTATACTATTACTTTAAAACGTAAAAATCTAGTCTAGATAAAGAAGAATCATCTAAATCAACTTAATAATTGTCGAGCACGAAAGCTCAAAAATGGTCAAATAAACATGTTACGTTATTTAATATTTTATAAAATTGCTAACTACGCAATTCATGCTCACATCTGTAAAATAAAATAAGTACTAAAACTTCCTAATAACAAAATATCTATACAAAAAAATTAAGGCTCTTTTTACATTATTGATATAGACTTCAAAAACCGTCGACAATCCAATTGTGAAGCGACACCGATAATTTTTTTTTTATTTTTATTAATGCATAGGTCTACCTGAAGAAATAAACACTAACTAAAACTACTTTGAATATAGCCATGGGTTTTCACGGGAACCGGAGAGACAGTAATCAGCTAACTTCATCATGTCGCTTTCAACTAACTTCACTTTTCAACATGTTGCTATTTGGCTGTCGATGTACGTGCGCATAATAAAAATTTTACTGTCATATTTTTTCCAAACGTGCCAAAACAAGTATAACTTAAAAAAAACACATCTAAGGTTGTAATAGTACCTTTTAAAATGCTTTTCAATGTTGTGTACCTCTTGACTTACAAAGCGGTTAATCATAACATTTGAAGGATAGGCAGAAACTATTTCTAGAGCATACAAAAACATTTATCACTCAATTTCATCGAAGAGCACTCACTATTAATCGATGTTTATCGATTTCCATCTATTTTCAACCGATGACATTGGGCTCTCGCATTCAATAACTACACAATCTTACTACTCTACCCATAACATTGTGACCTGTTATGGCATATTCAAAATTAAAAAATAAATATACATTACTAAATTTAAAAAAAAAATCTTATTTAATAATAGGATATGTAAAGAGTTTGATTAACATTTTCGTCTGTTTTATCGCACATAAATTGAAATTAATCTTATTTAAATAAAAATAAAAAAATAGGTTCAAAGTTAGCTTCAGCTTTTGGTTCTATTCGCTACTATTGAAGTGGGGCTTAAATCGCTACATATGAACGTGCAAGGAACAAGTAAGAGAGCTAGC